GTTGGAAGTTCCAAATTGTTGGTTTTGGAGAGAATCCAAGTGAAGGGAGGGAGAGGGAGAATTTTCTTAAAACCCTAAAGGGGTCAGACGGACGCCGGAACTTCCCACCCCAACAACACTGACAGGGCAACAAGAACAATGTAACAAATCACACCCCCCCCCCCGCAAACAACACTGCGGAGTCTCCCTAACAACACAAGGGGAATGCTGTCCCCATTCATTCACTTCCCGTGGCTATGAATGAAGAGCCTCAACAAAGACTGCGATGGGGGCGGAGGGGAAGAGGGGTTTCTTCAATTGAATTTGCCCTTCAACTACTATTTTCACTACGTTTTTTTTTTTTTTTTTTTTTTAAAAAAAAAAAAGGAGGAGTATTGTGGTATGACCCGTTCATGTACCTATATGTACATGTACATGTACATGCACTAGGTATTTGTCCGGAAAATATATTATAAACCCCTTTTCATCACAATATATCAGAATTTTTCCCGTTTTCCTGATCTTGCTGTCTAATCCAGCTCCCAACCACAGAGCAAAAGAAGTCACGAGAAACAATGTAAACAGTAAAGAGGGACAAAAAGGAAGCAGATAGTATAGTGTATGCATCTAGAGAAGAACCGCATGAAGTAACAATAATAGCATAGCAAGCAAAGTAAAGTAAATTTCATTCTCTTATAGCCTGCATGGTCTTAAGGACCTAACCTGCCCTTTGGTGCCCCTCTTAATATAAGAAAGTGAGAACAGCGATGCCTTGCCTGGTGGATTTCTCTTCTTGCTAGGCGCACACCGCAACCACCGGCGAGATAAAGCAACCCATTTCCCTTGCGATTCAGACTGCCTCCTTAGCAGGAAAAGGATAGCACAAAATTAACTCGCTCCAAGAGAGGTGAACTTGGTCCATATTTCTGGACTAGCAAGGCAAAGACAATAAAAGAACCATTTCCTCTACTCCTCGCCGCTGGATTCCTCATCCTCCTCATCAGCAGCAGCCTTCTTGGCCGGCTTCTTCTTCTTCTTCTTGTTCTTCTTCGTTCCCGTGGATCGCGCCAACGGGCGCTCGAGGATCTTCAAAATCTCCTCATCAGTAATCTTCTTGTCTGACTGAACCTTGGACAGGTCAAGGGGTGGAGGAGCGGCCACCCTCGTCAAACCATTCTTGGTAATCACTACAATACAGATGTTAGCAAGCAGAACCCCTGAATATCTCAATCCCTTCCCTAGAAAAAAGAGGGATTGCACATAGGGGAATCACAAATATCAGGTTTAAAACGTACCAACAGTGGTTAATAATCTCGACACTGGCGACCCATCAGCTTCTCCAGCAGGGTCATATTGTCGAACAACCCCACCACGAACACACTCAACAACACCAACCTTCCCAGCCTTCTCATCCTCAAGCTGGCGAAGACTGAACGGGAAGGTTCCAAACCTCCTAACGATTTCCGAGAGCGTCTGCCTCGAGCTCGGTCTCTTCAAGATATACGTAGTCGTGGTACGGCGGTGCAGAGTAGCTCTGTACTCCAAATTCTTGACCTTCCCAGATCCAAGACTAAGACCGACCTCGACACCCCACGCCTCTCCAACCTCTGCAGACCCCTCCCCCTTAATGCCCGCGCTAGGCGCAAGAATAATCTTCTTCTTCCCCTCGATCTCATTGTGCTCGAACAACCAGCTAGTCGTGTTCTCCACCAAAGTGCAATCATACGATTTAGCAACTTTCTCCAAAAGTCCCGAAATGGCGGATTGCGTGGGTGGTTTTGCAGCTGCGGCTTGCTTTTTCTCCTCGTCGGAGCCGCTTGCGAGGAGGCCCGGGGGGACCATAAGCCTCAGGAGCAATTCGTTCGCGTAGTAAGTTGCCACGAGCAAATCTGCCTCGCGGCCAGTGACTTTTCCGTCACTGCCTACAACAATTGTGTCGCAGACAATGGTGCCAAACCCGTCGATTTGCGCACCTAGCTGAATCTTGACGACCTCATTGGCCTTGAGCGTTGTGGCGGCCTCCTCCGCATCCGACACTAATGGGGTATACGGAGTGACGAACGAGCTAGGAGAGACGGTAGTTGGGTGGGAAATGCCTGGAGAGCAAACAAATATACGCGGACGACGAATTTGTTATTTTCTTTTTTGCATGATCCCGGAATTGATGAAGGGGTACGTATATATGAGGGCCGGATTGAAGCAGCGGTTTTCAACCGCCAATAATATTATATCCACATACCCTTGGGGACTTTCTTGCCCTTGTAGACCTTGGCAACTTCCTCATCCAGAAGCTTATCACCCTTCTCGCATATCTCGACCACCTTCGCGCCCTCGACACACCATCCTATTTGCAGCAAAGTCAGCTTCTGGGAGGGGAGCGTTGGTCGAGTGGTTCTTTTTGGGGGAATTGAGCAGACGACATCTTCTCAGTCATTTATTTTTCTTGCTTCTTTTTTCTCTTTCTTTGCTTTCTTCTTCCTTTGTTTCGGAAGATCTTCAGAAGAAAAGGAAGAAAGCGGAAACACTTGAAGGAGAACAAAGGGGAAAGGGCACAGCACCTGTAACAGCCTCGAGAACTTTGTGTGAGATTTGGGCAGCGGTTTTGTACTTCGTCAAAGTATCCGGGTTGTTGAGGGTGTAGTCTGTACGTAAAGAAAGGGTGGTCAGTCAATCAATGATGTAATTTAAAGGTACAGCCGTTATCCCGGAAGTGCACCTAGTTCACAAAGAGAAAAGAAAATATAAATAAAAACACCACACAGGATAAATGACCAAAATACACATAATACACCGGGTTAAAATAAAGGGTTATAAGCTGGTGGTACCAGCACTTGGGAACACCAGGCAATTCATTGCCCGAAAAGTGTGCGTGCGTATAGAAATTGTGGTTGTCCAACGAACAATAGAACTCACCAATCTCGGTAGATTCGGCCATTGCGGAGTAAGTGGCCTCGCAAAGGATGCGAGGGATAAATCGAAGTCAAGATATGGGGAGGTATAGAATGAACTGGCAGCTCGTTGTGTGTGCGTATACCAGAAGGAGAACGTTTTAAATAAGGATTGTTGTCGCAAGCTAGGTGTGTGAGTGAGGGGTGGTGGGGTGGGGGGACGAAAGGTAACTATGGCACAGAGGAACGAAACCGAAGAGTTTAGTGGAATTTTACGTGGGAATTTAATAGGAGCTTATAGGTCGACTACCATTACGGGCTGAATACGACGGCAGACACAATGATCCCTGCGAAGGGGCAATAAATCATTGTATTTCATCATAATTGTGGGATTCCCTTGGGCTTTCATAGGAGCAATTGCGAGGTTTGTTGCCATACGAGTAGTTACCTACGTTGTAGATGCCACTCACTCGCTGGGAAGACTCCAGGCTAATATTACAGTACGGTAACTAATGAGAGTACTCGATACTCGTGTATTACGATCACATGATGCTGTCTCTTGGCACTTTCGTGCGCCAAACCATCCTCACTACTAGCCTGCAGCGGGGAGAGAGAAACGATGTGGATGTGATCATGGGGCAGCTGGGCATATGGACGATCTTGCTGGCTGGTCTTTGTCTCCTTTGTTCAGACCTTACAGTGATTTGTGCTGCTTCCGTCTTGAATGCTAGCGCGTCATAGATGACACGCTTGAATGTTTTACGAGTACTTTTCCTTGCTAGTGTTTCACCACTTGACTTTATATAGATACGACTCTCCCCCAAGCGAAACATGAAAGTGGACCGCCCATTACCCCTGCGTATCCTCACCCATAACATCCGCTATGCCACATCGGCGCCTTTCAGAGGTGAAAAGCCCTGGAAGGACCGAAAGCAACGGTTGATAAACGAACTCCATTATCATTCCCGGCACAATCCCGAGACGTTCATTTGCTTACAGGAGGTACTTCATGTCCAGTTAACCGACATCCTCTCAGGTCTCAACCCCAACGCGAACAAAGACGCCACTGCTGAATGGGCATATATTGGCGTCGGACGGGACGACGGCAAGCAGGCAGGGGAATTCTCTCCAATCTTCTACCGCCCCGCGGTCTGGGAACTCGAAGAGTCCAAAACTGTCTGGCTCTCTGAAACCCCTTCGGTCCCATCCAGAGGCTGGGACGCTTCTTCCGTCCGAATTATCACAATTGGCGTTTTCAAGCACATTGTGAGCCGAAAGCGGGTGCTGGGCATGAATACGCATCTTGACGACCAGGGTTCCAAGTCTAGATACGAAGCGGCGAAACTGATCCTCGGCCTGATCAACCAGTTTCTCACCAAGAACCAATTGGCCGGCCGAAATATCAATGGTGTTTTCCTGGCGGGAGATTTCAACAGTGAAGAGAACCAGGAAGCTTATAGCGTGCTCACTGCGGCAGATTCACAACTTGTGGATGCCCAAAAGCAGGTCAATGCTGCGTTTCGATATGGCAGCGAAAATACCTATACTGGCTTTGGCTACGAGGATGAAGGGCCAAAGAGAATCGATTACGTTCTTTTCGGCCCACAGCGCGGAGCTAACATGTCCTGGATTGTTGACGGCTATGCTGTGTTGCCTAACAAATTTGATGATGGGGTGCTCAATTCGGATCATCGCGCAGTTGTTGCGGATGCTAAATTATTCTAAACTATGTAGCTATATTGGCTACTATCTTTCTCCCCCCCCCCTTTTTTTTCCCCCTTTCTTTTCCCCCTCTTTTGATTCCAACCCGCTACTATACCACGAGATTTTTTCCGCATTTTCATGACATTTATTTGACTTCTCCTTTCCACAAGAACTCATGTGATATAAAAGGCACATAGGCTGCATGGGATAAACGGAATGTATTTGCAGGTAGTAATACAATAGCATACCTAACAGTAAATACCTATATATTTTTGTAAATACGACTCACAGGCTCATTCCTTCAGTGGTGTACCTCCTTTTATGGCTTACCTCGGTATATATATTAATCCGGGCCCCGACCCTGCTGAGTCAACCGTGGCCATTCCAGCCTCCTCCTCAGTTTTCAGAGCCGCAGCGACGATAGGATAGGATGCCCAAAGCGAAGTCGACCTGACCAAGACAAAAAGCTGAAAAAAAACGGCAAGAGGGTTTACAATTGTAAATAACACCCCGGCGCAAAAAAACAAACTGAGCCCGGATCCGAAAACTCGGCTTTAAGGTTTTTTTCCCAATAAGAGGCGCAGCTTGTCACTCGCCCTTTGGGTGGCCCGAACTTCGCACGGTGGGTGTCAGCGACACATCCCTTCATTCATACATCGGCTTTCGGCCACCGCAGGTATGTTTTTCCCGGCCCCAATTCCCTCCTAGGCTTTTATCGGGTCTCATTATTTATTTTCTCTTCTGCAATTCTTGCTTCGTACCCCGGGCTCTTGGTCGTGAAGGGGAATCAACGCTCCAATCATGGCGTCGCGACTCTTCCTACCTACTTTTCCTTCCCGAGTATCCTAACTCTGCGCGTCAAATTCCCTAGGTTTGCGTCGTTGGGTATATCTCGGCCCAGGGATAATACGTTATTAACTATTGTCGCCTCAGGTCCTTGTGTCTTCGTGAAGCTTTATGCAGATGATGCGTCAATAGCCACTGTCTAATCCAGTTCGCGAATCCGCTCAACATCCATCCGGGAGTGACACATAGAAAAACTACCGCACCATAACCCCCTGCCTCTACCGCCCTTGACACAACAGGACTCCATTTTTAACGACAATGCCTTCTCCGGATAGCCAGGTGGCCGATGCCCCTGTGCAAGAAACCGAAACCCGGGATAATCCTCCGCAAGATGCGACTACCTTGCCGGAACATGGTAACATAGGGGTTCAAGGGGATGGGAGCTCTACGGCGAACGCGACTTCCAACGGACAAATCGTTAATGGCTCCGCCCCAGCAGCTGCAGCAGGAGAAGGGACACAAGAGAAACAACGAACGATAGAACCTTCTGGGGTACCTAATACACATGCGCTCGAAGGGCCAATATCAAAGGTTCCAAGCCAGCCGCAATCACCAAATTCTACAATCTCACAGGCAAGCGGCGCCACACTCAGCCGAAAACGATCTCGATCGGGTTCGATAATACGCTCTACGTCCCCTCCCCCACCATCCTCAGCCCTTCCTGTCCGCCCCCGTGAAACTCCTGCCGACAAAATATTACTTGAACAATATGTCAATCGAGAATTTCACCACTCTGGGCTAATGGCCTGGAAGAGCCCGCACCAGGAGCTTCTCCAGAAAAAGCGCGCCGAAAGAGACTACTATCTGTCTTTACAGCATGAGCGCCGGCTGAATCCTGGCGCAATATTCGGACCTGGATACGAAGGCTACGGAAACGCGCGGACTGACCTAAAATCCCAACATCCCCAGCTTCTTTATCCCTCCCATCGAAGGCGACCAGGTGGGAGGAAATCGAAGGATCTTCGTATATCGCGAGATGATATGCTCGCGCAGGCAGAACAGCTCGAGGACTTGGTTCCCATCCGGTTAGACATCGATTGGGACAAGATTAAACTGCGAGACACCTTCACCTGGAACCTCCATGATCGAGTCACGCCGCCAGATGTATTTGCAGAGAAACTAGTTGAGGATTTGCGTCTTCCTCTCGAGTCTTGCGCGCCACTAGTGCGCCAGATCTCCCAAAGCATCCAAGACCAGCTAGCCGACTTCTACCCTCAAGTATTTATAGAGGAAGTGGCTTTAGATCCCCACCTCCCTTATCACGCGTATAAAAATGATGAGATGCGCATCCTCGTCAAACTCAACATCACTATCGGCCAGCATACTCTAGTGGACCAATTTGAATGGGAAATCAATAACCCACTTAATTCACCAGAGGAGTTTGCAATTCAAATGACGAAAGATCTCTCCCTTCCAGGAGAATTTACTACTGCTATCGCCCACTCCATCAGGGAGCAGATTCAACTATTCACCAAAAGCTTATATATTCTGTCACACCCCTTCGACGGTCGACCGATCGAGGATCCAGACCTTAAAGCATCCTTTCAACCATCTCCCCTCCTTTCGCCCTTCCGCCTCTTCCAATCCGCCAAGGATTTCACACCCTACCTTTACGAGCTTAACGAAGCCGAGATTGAACGTACAGAAGTCTCCATCTCTCGGGAACAACGCCGGCAAAAACGCTCCGTCAACCGGCGTGGTGGTCCTGCTTTGCCTGATCTTAAAGACCGCCAACGAACTATCCGCACACTGGTTGTATCTTCTGTTATACCTGGAGCAGCATCTTCAATAGAAGAGAGCCGCTTGTTCAAGCGCTCGGGTACCAGCCGGAGCAGACGCGCAACTGCCGGCCAGCGGGATGGAGGTGATGAATCAGACGATTCTGATAGCGACGAGTCGTCTGCGGACTCGCCGGCAGTATCTCACCTTTCCCAAGGCACCGCCAGGACGAGAGGCATGAGAGGTGCCGCGTCCGTTGCACAGGCTGCAATGCGCGCCAATCTCGTCCGGTCTGCCACCCCAGAAGTCATGAGCCTCCACGAACCGAGAACCTCAGCTCGACATCGCGATTACAGGGACGAGAGCTCCGACGTGCCTGATAAACTCATCGTGAAATTGAAAATTGGCCGCGAAAAACTCCGCCAATTCTTAAAGGACATAAAGAGCAACAAGACGCATAAATCCTCAGCCGCAAGGGGATCCACGCCATCTACGGGCACGAAGAATGTAGCTCAGACGACAGCCACAACAACAACTACTCGCAGCTCCATGGGTCCGCCGCAATCCCAAGCTCCTCAGCCAACACCACCAAAACGTCCCTCCGCATCGCAGCTTAACGGTGTAATCGATGCACCTAACCCCCCTCAACCAGGGGTCCCAGGGGTACGTAGTTACATCCAGCAACCAACCTCCTACTAACCAACAAAATGTCTACACCACGTCCACTAACATCCTACCTCCAGCCTCCACCCCCATCCTGGCTCGTCCGTGGTTTAAATAATCTCAAACGCTCCTACCCCCGTGACTCTTTCGAAGGTACCATGCGATACACAGCCGTAGACCCGCACACCGGCCTCCCCCTCGCAAACGCCGCAACCACCCATGCAGGCCAGAAGCTGACATATAAATATTTCCCGCGCATCCGCTGCCACGATTGTCCCGGGAAACTATACACACCCGGCCCAGCGATGACTGTAGATAATTTCGAGGTTCATTTAAAGAATCGCCAGCATAAGGAGAGGGTGGAGGAGAGGCATGCGAAGGCGGCGGCGGAGGCGGAGGCGGCGGCAGGTGGTGCTGCTGGCGCTGGCAATGCTGCTCCTTCTGCCCCTGGCACCAGTACTGGTGAAGAAGCGGGTGCTGGGGATGGTGCCGGGAAGACTAACTCTGGCGCCGGAGAAAATACTACGGTTTCCGGTATCGATGCCACTGCAGCTACTGCTACCGGAACCACTGCGTCGTCTGCCGATACTGCCTCGTAGATTAGTGAATTCAGGCGGATCAAGGGGAGGTCCTCATAGTATTTTTGTATCGATTGGACACGGAAAGAATGCTGATGATCTATCTCCCTTCTCGCTCGTGGATGTGAGAGATTTGAGAGTGGGGAAGTTTGCGTGAAAAGAGCGTCGTTTTTAGAAGCCTCCCTCCATTTTATCCCTTTATGTCATTATTATTACCTTATTTTATCATCAGCATCATGATTATCTTGCCTACCACATTGTATGGAGTAGATTAATTTACCTCCTCTTTTTGTTTCCTTCCATTTTCTATGCTGCCCTTGATTTTAGGAAACGAGCCAATTATCTCTTTAGTAAATAACTACAGCTACCATTTTCAATTCCTTCCCTATGTCCCGAAATCTCTGTACTTTCTCTGTGGAACTATATTCCGTATTTATTTAAATAGTTAACAAGCTGAGAGGAAAAAATTATACAAAAAAAATCAAAGTTTTTCTCCGATTTCAAAGGATGAACAGAAGTAATTTCAATTGGATGGCGTAGCAGGATATATGTATTTGGGTAAACGAGCTGGGGTTGAAAAAGAATCACCAGGTGAATATACTACATAGGGAGCAAACTATTCCCTATTAAAAAAAGGAAATAACATAAAAATGACAATAGCTATTTTACGTAAAACGATGGATTAACAATCGAATGTCAGATTGATAGGAATATGTAGATAGACCGCAGAAATTGAGATAGGGCTAGAAGATTTGAGCAACATTCCACAGACAAATTAACAATTGACATTCAACGTATTGACAAGGAGGAATAACCCATATTGAATATCTCACTCAAAACCATATAAATCAGATCACAAGGAAAGGCAAAAAGAAAGAAAAAAAAAAGGGCAAAAAAAGGTGTCAGCTAGATGCAAGAGAAGCAAATCCACGTAGCATAGATCAAATCATAAACACATCATCAGAAAAATGATCGATAGCATCAACGCGCCCTCCGTGTCGACCTCCTAATCGGTCCGGCCTCAACAGCAGCGGCGGCAGGCTGCTTCTGATCTGGAGATTCAGTCTCTGTATTACTCGTCCGTCTCTTGCCGGGAGGTTTGCCCCGACCCCTGCCCCTACCTCTCGTAGCAGCGACAGGCGAGGAGGGTTTGTCTTGCTGCAGTTGTTTCTTTCTAGGCGTTTGGCGCTTAGACCTTGACGGTGGGAGAGGGAGAGATTTCTGGGCGTCCTCCATCGGTTCACCTTCATCGTCATCGCCAGAGAGAGAGCTAGGCGTAGCGTTGTTCTGATCTTCCTTTTCCCCTTCCTTCTGTCCTCCCTCCTCCGCCTCTTCTGCTTCCTCTTCTGCCTCAGACGATTCTCTCTCCCCACTGCCGTCTTCTTCTGATTCGTCACTATTGTTCCCCTCTTCCTCCGCTTTGTTTTGTTCCTCTTCCCATTCCACCATTTCCATGTCATCCTCGTCGCTATCTCCCTCAGCATATGAAATACCAGCCTTGGTTCCTCGCCCGCTTCTACGGCGGGCTTTTGATTCAGCTTCGCCTAGCCGTCCGCCACCCCCCTCCCAATCATCTTCGTCGCTCGTCTTCCTCCGCTTGGCAGGCTTTACACCCGCTTCCGCAAGTGAAGATTTGCGAATCGGGAGAGACTTCTCTTTACTATCTCTGCGAGCCTTTTTAGATGAAAAACTCGAAAATTTGGCGCCAGCACCACTAGTCTTGCCCATTGACGATAGGTCCACCTTCCGTTTTCGCGTTTGGCTCGGCCCATTAGATGCTGACTGAGTCCTTGGTTTCATGAACAATCGGACAATGCGATCGAGCTTATCATCAACTTCCTCTGCTAAGTAATTTTTTTCGGCAATGGACAGTGCTTCACTGTGGATGGGTATAGTTGTAAAAAGCGAGCTGGGTAGTCGCATCTTGCCAGGATAAGTTTGTAGGATGTTAGCTGCTCCACTGCCACCGCTGCCGCCAATTTTATGTTGCTGGGAATATAATTCTGCGAAGCGACGAGTGGTGGCCTGGGCAAGGTCGGAAAGGGTATATAGGCGAGTGGACATCATTGCTGAGCCGGTGATGGCATCTCGAACCTGCTTGACTCGTTGCATGATGTGGAAGATGAGGGAGAGGTTGTTTTCGTTGGCGACAGCGGACAGATAGAAAAGGATGTATCTGGCGAAATCTGCTAGGTCATCCACTTTAGTGGATTCATCGGATGATTCAGGAGGATAATCAGGATGGTATGCTAAAAGTGAAAGAAGACGAGCGGCCAGTGACTCCATGACTGTCTGCTCTGATCCCTTGTCATTGTTTTGCGACAGGCGAATAAAGAAATGTGTTCGAGATCGCAGCCAGGTAAGTGTGCTGTCCTTCAGGTTTCTATTTGGCTCGAATGCCAGGAGGAAAGTAACAGTATACCATCTCGTACCCAAGTGTGTCGTTTGTGTAAGTTTCTTCTTTAGTTGTCCAATGAAACTTGACCTCACGGGCTCTAATTGATCCTGTGCAACCAAGGCAACAGCATTGAAATCTTTCGGCGTCACCATCTTTTCACAGATTGCGTGAGCGCTACTGAGCTTGATGATAAGCTTTGCGGCGAGTAGACGAAGTCTTGACTTTTGTGTTGCTGGAGAATTCTGTTTCTTAGACAGTTCACCATCGTTGGCAACAAGGGTATTGAGAATTTTGTAAACAGGTTCGGCATAAGAACGGAAAGACTCCTCGTCTTCGGTGCTTTGCTTCGCACGGACTCTGTTCACAAGGACCCTTAGGGCCCATTCCTTAGCAGCCGTCTCATTGTCGATATCGTCAGACCATGCATATCCAGCGGACGGGTTCGATGTCCGATTATTTAATAGAATGTCGTCCGTAGCGATGGAGATAATGGCATCGCCCTCCTCATCGGCAATCTCTGGCGCTAGAAGATTGATTTGGGATATTGTCGCAAGTTTAGTGAGAAAGTATTGCGAATTGTAGGTACAATTTTGGACTGATTGCTTTATCAGGTCTTTGGCATACATCTGCTTCTTATCTGACGTGGCCATAATTATCGAGACGGCATGTTTTGCGGCTTTGGGTGACGAGCTGTATAGGGCGTAGTTGGTAAGAGCAATTAAAAATTTGCGCTCCGTGGGAAGCTTAGCAGGCAACTTCTTCGCAAACCCTGCGCACGCTTTTAATATCTCTTCCACGCCCGCCTCATCGGATTGCTTCGCGCTTGGAGCATGGGATTCCAGGTCTTTGCACATGTCTTGGACATGTGCCTCGAGAACCTCCGGGTTTTGGGATGAGACTTCTCTTAACATTTCATGTGCAGTATTCCCAAGCCCGAGTTCGTCACTTCTCGCCACGTCCATAATCGCAGGGATATGACTCCGATTGAAGATTAAAGAGCTACTCCGGTAAACCAACGGAGTTAAAGACTCGAGCAAGCTTGTAGAAACAGACGTGTTTCCTTGGATCCGCTTCGATAACTCCCTGATTGCCTTCGTAACAGTTCTATAGTCACTGACAGCAGCCATAGCGAAACGAATAAGCTGATAGCTACGCCGGTCATGCATTTTTGCAAATTTCCAGAGGTCCGCTGAAACTTTGGCTTGGTCTGGAAGCATTTTGGCCAGGTTATCAATGACTTTGGTTAGTTTTGACTTGGTAGTTTCCTCATCACTGTCCATTACACCGCCCTAAAATCACTGTTAGACATTGTACCATTCGTATGAATACGCAGGGGACTTAAACTTACGTTGTATTCCTCACATGCCGTTAAGTAGAACGTCATAAAGGTCCTCATGCTTAACTGACGGGCCTGAAGCGCGAAAAAAACCTTTTTAGCCCGTTCATCCAGCCCCTTAACCAGTGTAAGAATACGTCGAACACGGATCATTTCAATATCAGTCTCTGTATAACCTTCACCCTCTCGCATTGCGCTTTTCAATTTCCGCAACTGACTCGAATCGCCCTTCACAGCCTTTGATTTCAGGGGAGGATAATTCAGCGGTAGAAGAAGTTCGAATATCACATGGTCAAGAAGAACTTGAATATCAAGATTATTCGTGTAATAAGCGTCGAGGATTCTTGAGGGAATGTCCTTCAGAATCATTGTAACTTGCTCATTACCCACCTCAATTTCACCGGATGCGACTCCCCACATGCGCGCCAGAATTTTCATGGCATGCTCACGGACAGCGTGCTTTCGATCCTTAACGCGCTCAGCCAGAACGGAAAGAACAGAACCTTGATCGGAAATCCCACCACTGATTCCAAGTTTCTTGACAGTATCCGAGAAACCAAACGTTCCAATTACTTCAACTGCGGCAATTCTGACCCTTTCATCCGCGTCTCCAAGCATTTTCGCTAGACTATGAACGAGATCTTGCTCTTCATTTGTGCTGAGCCCAGAACCACCAGCGGATGTAAGTATGATTCGACCGATCCCTGTAACCCAAGCAGCCCGTACTGATGCAGATTTATCCTGACGTCGACTAAGAAAGCTTTGGTATGCAGTAGAATGAGCTTGAGAAAAGGGTTTAGGAGCGAGCGGTAGTAGTAGAGCATTTGGTTGCGTGATTTGAGAATCGTCAGTCAATCTTGCGGGAGGGTAGGCAGCTGGATCCATGGTCGGTGGTGTTGGAGGGCCTGCGACGCCAATGCCAGCGGTGACATCGCCAATTGTTTGCGTGGCGAGAAGCCGTAGTGATACAGATTCTGCGGACAATTCCGCTTCAAGTTGTGGGATCACGTTTTGAAGAACATCCGGACAAGCGCGCCACACCTCTCGTATAAGGCGATGTGCCTTGCTTAGCTCTTTAATGTTTTCAGCCTCATCATCGGAGTCATCAATGCTGGCGCGACGATGCGCCTTCGACAGTCCATTCGCCCCCGAAGGACCCGAAGCATCTATGATCACATTGTTGAAATACTGGCTCACGTAGCTCGTCATCTTTTCAGGGCACGCGTTGCATATGGCCTTAGCCATGTTATAAGCCGGAGGATACTCTTTTAGTAGCAATGTCCCTTGCTTTGAATCTATATGCACACTGTTCTTTTTACTTTTGCTGCTGGTAGAGTGCTCTACGATCCGCGGATCGACGCGCAGGAATTGCGCAATAATAACATCAATGATTTCCGGCGCAAGAACGGAGGATTCATCAATAATAGGCGCTAAAAGTCGTGTCATATCATATTCCACATTTTTCGCCAGTTCCTCGCCCGTGGAAGATTTCGATGAGCCCGACACGATATCGAAACATGATGAAAATAGCGGGAGAATTAGGGTATCAGGAGCGTCCAGATCTGTCAGGAGTACAATGCTTTTAACGTCCGCGAGTGACGAAAGAACGTAAACGTGCTGCTCATTGTATGCATTAGAGGGATCCGCGAGGGCAGGAATTATAGAGGTGACGATGGTGGTAAATATATCCTATCGCAGTTCTCTATGTTAGCATTCCTTCGCTTCCTGAGGACCTATCCAAAGAATGCCGCCTCGACTCGCATTTCTCTGTACCTTTAGCTGATTGCCTGTAAAGGGGGCGTTTGGGGCGCAGAGGCGCAAAATATCCACCACGCAACAAGCCGTCCATGCTCGCACACCTTTATCCCTGTGTCCCAGCAAATGTCCACTTGCCAAATCCTGGGAAACATTCTTCAGCGAATCCTTATCCGTCTCTTCCTGGTCTAGTTGTCGCAGCTCAAGCGCGAGTGATTCCAGTCTCTCCAGCAAGTCTGCAACCGGGATCGCTCGACCAGCCCGCCACGAGAGCGTATCATTGAACCTGAGGCGGCGGAGGCCACTTGGTTCTTCCTCAGGCTCAGCAACTTCAGGCGTAGTGGCGAGCGAATGTCGAGTGCGCGCGGGCATCGTCGTTTTACAGAGAGGGGGGGCGTGTCTGAATGGATTAGTCGACCATGTGGTTGTTGGCGAAGAGAGAGAAGAAAGGGGAAGGTCGCAGAAATCTGGCTATGATTGGTCTGATTGGGACAAACCGGGGGAGGTTTTGCCAGGCTCACAAGCCGCAACTGTGACAGCAATGGGTTCAACGGGAGGCCAGGTGGTCCCGAGCTATCTCTACGCTGGATTCGAAATGCGAAGTGAATTTCTTTTCGCTGGCGCGACTCCGGAGAGACGCGTCGGGGTTAAACTCAAGGTACCAGGTTGGTCACGTGGTATGACGGTAATATAACCTCTAATTATTACTGTATGCCTGTGTATTTTAACCCTAGCTGTGAAAAAATCAAAGATGTTTGTCGTTGAATGCTTCTTCCGAGTTCGACCTCGCCCCTGTCCCCTCGTCTGGCCGCGAGGCACAATTAGCGCGATACCATTAGTGTAACAACTAAGCAGTTACTAGCTCAGAAGTACCACCAATAATTTCTCATACTAAATTCTATGCAATCTGATTTGTTGATACAGATTCACTATCTCATATTTTCTACTCTGTGTTACTGCTGTTCATCATCATCAAATTTCCTAGCCATCTACTCAAACTTATATCTGATATTAGTATAAAAGAAAGAGAGAAAGAGAGAATAAAGATAGAGCTTCAAGATTAAGATCCGTGTGCTGTATAATAATATTCCTCTCTGTCAGAAAAGCTGATGTTGACAGGAGTTCTATTCTAATATCTAGTTAATGTCTCTCTTAATTAGGGGTAACTTAACTAGATCAAATAGATTACATAAATTACACTAAAACACATCAATACAATCGATATTTAATATTCTACGGTACGCGCTAAAAAACCGCGCTAATTGTGCCGCCGAGGAGATTGTTGGTCATGTGAGGTGTTACAAGGATATCTTTCTTATCCTACGAAGTCTCAATTTTACACCTCACTTAGTATCTGAAAACACTTCCCAGGAAATTGAGAGCGAAATTTTGCAAAGTATCGCACATGATTCTGGTAACTACCAATCTCGCTATATCTACTCTACTTCCTAACTTGAAAGCGACTCATACTCCTAATTCTCGCCCCATAAACATAAAGTAGAATCGGCACCGGAACCATTGCCAGAGACAAAAAGCCCAGCAGGCTCCCAGCCCAGTTAACCCCAAGCTTTTCATACATACGCACAGCAAAGAGGGGGAAAGCGGCGGCGGAAATGCATCGCACGAACGAATTCGCCGCGACGGCAGAATTCGAAAGAATCGTGTACACATCAATAAGATAGTTGACTCCCTGCAGGAAAATGATAATGATGCCCATACCAATGGGGATTCCAGCAAGAGTTTGCGCTACCCAGGATATATCTGGACTGGACGTCCATGAGAACCAAAAAAGGCCGATGGGTAGGCAGATAGCGCCAACGATTACTTCGGGGAGCCGCTCTTCAGGGGGAACACTGCCATGTTCCTTCATCTTACGGGTGAAGTGGGTTTTCGTGCCATAGGCGATGACAGCCAGACCAGCTATGATACCAAGGGATAGACCCAGCAAGGGTAAAGTGGCGACACCTGCGTTTTCCCAGCCGCGGTCCCGGCGAAAGGAGACGGGATATGCGAAGAAAAAGAGATAGAGCATGCCGTAAGTGATGGCGATATAGATCGTCATGAATAGAAGGATGGGCTCCATAATCAACATCTGCGGCGGGCGGGAGAAGTACTTGGTGAAGATATCGCCCAATGTTGGCCTGTGTTCATCCAACTCGGAGTGGAGCGCCCAGTTCCTTGTACTTTGCCGGAGCTGGGCAGCACGACGCTGCAAGATGACAGGGCCATAAGTCTCTCGACTTGTGGCGATTCCAAGAATAGCACAGAGTCCAGAGAGAATACAGGTCAGCCATGCGGTCCAGCGCCATCCGAGATCCGAATCGACGATGAACGACCCTAAAATAGGACCCGCAACAGGCCCAGCGAATGTTGCCACAGCAAATATCGCTACTGCAACTCCGCGTCTAACAGGATCCCAGATATCAAAAATGATGCCCGCAATAGTAGCGGTCGTGGCGGAGCCGAAAATTCCGATCAGGAATCGGAAAATCAAAATCGTCTCAACATTGTGAGCTGTTGCTACAGGTATTTGGAGGATGACGAAACCGCTGAAACCGACCCATAGAGGGATCATTCGGCCGTACAATTCGGATAATGGAGCCCATATCAATGGCCCAAATGCGAACCCCTAAATACCATCAACACCATTGTTAACGTGGGGAGCAGATTTGCTTAGGACTTACGAGTAGAACTAAACTCGTCGCTAGTGTCATGACCACCTCTGAAACGTGATACAGCGCTGCAGTTACCTGAGTGGCTGGTGTGAAAACGCTGCTCGAGAACATGACAAATAATGCAACAAAGGAGATGATCATGGTGATATACCATCTCCGGGCGAGACTCCAGTTCAAAGGATTTCCTGGGTCGGACGGCCCGTCCCACTGAACCAGATTCAGGTCCTTCTCAGTGGTGGTATCCGGCGAGCATGCAGCCTCTCCGACCTGTGCGTCTTTCTCGATATCACCGTTGGGTTGAGCCCCTTCCAAACTGTCTCCTGGGGGAACATGTTTTATCTCGACTCCATTGTTTGGTACATGTGGCCGTGCGTCATTTATACCGTCGTTTGATATCCGTGGCAGCGGAATACTTGCGGTTGACGGAACCGTTGGCGTTGAGCCAATGACCTCTCCCTCTTGCCGTGTTTCACGGTCCATCACTTCATGTAAGCACGATCAACTCTTTGCTTGGTCCTGGCTAGATAATATTGATCCAGTTTTGAAGGGAGGGAAAAAAGATCAAAAGAAAATATAAAGAAGAGAGGAAAATATACGCAGGAGAACGCGAACGCAAAGGTTTTGTATACTAAATTCCGTATAACTTTTGTACGTCTAGCGGCTAGCGGCATTGAAGGCTAATCATTCTAGTACTCCGCATTGGGACAGACCTCCGCTGCCCAGGATAAAAATCTTGCCATATATGTATCCGAGAAGGCCTTTAGTGCCAAAAAGACTTCATCAGATGGCCCCCGCAATATCCCTGTCGCTGCATAACAACACATATTGTGACAAGCACCAGCAGGAATGTTGCTCCCTATCCTCACCAAGATTGGAGAGATGAAGGGATGTCTTTCTAGCAATAGAATCAATACAGCCTGCTTCACAGCAAGCTCTCCCTCACGACCGTATATCCGTAAAACCCGACGGCCAAACTGCGTAAAATCCAAACGGCACGGTCAGAAAATCTTAACTACATATACATACCGTAGGCCACACTTGTTTCATGGGGGAGGGTTCAACCTTGCCCACGTATGAACTGCCATGGATTCGGCCGCTAGTTCTTCAGGGGCTGTGATAACGGTTTCGGCGAGGATTCTCTTCGGCATCCTTCGTAAGGTTGAACTCTTTCGGCGACCAATGCGGAGGATTTAAGTGTTTGGGCAATGTGAATTTACGTCCGAGAACCACTCCTAAAACCCCCATGTCAAGTCTTTTTTTCGTCTGAGGATTCTGTACATAGTACTGCGTAGGGCTATCGCCTTTGTTCCTTCGATCCTGTATATCCAATAGTAAAACTAGGTTCTCAAATCTAGGCCCTTGTAAGCTAACATTATTTCAGAGCTGAGCAACCCACGGGGCGCCCGAGAGGGGTGGGGTCGTGGTGGACCAGGGCGGCTTTTGACCATCCGGCAGGGGGATTGATTTGATAAAGATGGAAAATCGCAAGGTTCGGCTGGCCAACATTATTGTTATCACACTTAAAAAGTAAAGGGTTGATTGCTGAGTGGGTGATATATATAGCTGCTCCGCTCGCTATATTCATTATTCGGTCTGTAGCTTTGTCTATGCTCCCCAGTATTATTGCACGGCTGGATCTAGTTTACATCATGATGCTTTTAACTTTTCAAAATACATCTCATTTTTATCTGTGGGAAGTATGAAAAAGACAAGCAAGGCGGACATCCCATTCTGAAAGGAATCATGTCAAGCTGAGCAAGACATTCATTCATAAAACAAGCTTCAACGGACCCCGTCGCAGGGTTGTTGGACATTTCCAAGCGCCGAATGCCGTCAGATGTTTCCGTAACTTACTTGGCAAGTCGTATGCTGGGGCCAACTTTTAGTACGCCTTATAAATACGAATAGCACCTTGACCCCACCTCACCATAGGATGAGAGGATTTGTTAGAGTATAGAAGCCTGAGAAATATGAGAAATTTATAGGAGCGTGGTGAAAATAGAGAACGGTGAGATATTATGCAGTTTTAATTGGGTGTTCATGGGTTGGAATAAATGGTCACTTTTCTAATCTGTAGGACCGTTACAATCATTGAGACCTACCGGAGTTAAAGGATACTGAGTATACTTGTGCTGCTCAGACAAAAAAAAATCCAAGAGCGACGTTCCCGCGTTATTTTCAAGGAGTGTAACAGTCTGTAAGTACCGTCTCGGGCTTGCCAGGACGATCTATAATGCTTACTGTGTAGGTTCTCTTACATATCAAGAAGAATTGTTGGTGGAGACAACAAAAATGGCTGAAAATGGCGTTTTTGGCGTATCATGGGTGTCCGCCGTCTGTCAACCCTGTACTCCGTACGGAGTACAAGATTGATAAATAAGCATTATATCATACTATGGCCTAGCTCTGTCATGCAACGTCTTGCCTTGCCTGGAGCTATCAAGAGGGGCAGTCGAATACAGAGGCGAATAGAGAACTCGACCGACGAGGCGTTGAGAAAACAAAAGGCCAAAAGAAAAGGAGACAGCCGCCGAGCAATCAGGGTATCTATCCAAATAATTTCCCAGTAAAATACCCACCACCCGCGCCATTGTGACAAAAAAACAAAAGTGCACACCCTTCCAAGCTGCCGCCATGTCGAAAGACGGGGCTTCGCATACGAAAGAAAAATACCCATTTCCTTTATAGGACACACACCCCACAAGGGATGAGCGAAATCCCGACGCCCGTCCCAGTCAAGATGAATAAACCGGTCGCGCCAAGCGCCTTCGATTCTTTCCAACACCCCCACAATATATGATTTCAAATAGGCTTAACAAAAAACAATTCGCCAAAGGGGTAACATGAAAAACAAGGCCAACGCCGGAAAATATGATCGTCATAAGGATCGTTAATATGTATCGTGAGTTCATGATGAGGCCTGACCGCTGTCACTTGCCTCATTCGCCTTATTTAACTCCCGCGACTCCTTGAGCTTGGCGATAGCTTTGTTTACTTCCTCTTTCGCAACAGCTTCCCATTTAGTTTTTGATTCTGTATCTAGTGCTATCGTGGTTCCAGCTTTATCGTATAACATCCGTGAGATCCGTCGGTTTATATCCGTATATTCATCTTTTGAAACGCCACGACTGCGGTAGTGTGGTTTCAGGGCCGCGCTGACCATTTTCTGTAGATCTGATTTTACGGATAGAGATAAGGAGGACCGTGTTGGGGACGATTCGTTAGACCGTGATCGCGACGGTGATGTCGATGAGCTATGTCCAGTTCGCCGCGTTCGGTCCATTTGGCGAGGTAGTCGAGGCTGTTCTGCTGTCCCAGGTTCGTCTTGGTTAGGAGAGCATGAAGGGGAAAATTCAGGAGAGGAAAAAGCAGGATCAAAGCACATGATGGGTGTAATCGGCCTGAGTTTGTTATTGTTATATGGAGGTGGTGTGGCGGATGATGGCCGGGGAGAGGAGCGATTAGAGAGGGATGACTGAACGGGCGATGATGGTCTTGGAGAGTTTGAATCTCCTGGTGTCGACGAGAAAACAGCTGATCTGAATGCGCCGTTCGTCAAACTCGGAGAAGAAGAGTCTTCGACCTCTTTGAGAAGGGATTGCAAAAAACTTGGGCCCGTACTAGCATTGCTATCAGCGGGAACCCTTCCAGAAGAAGTAGAACCATTAGCTAATCTTCCAGCTCTGGAAGACTCACCCCCGTGATCAAGAAAGTCAGCAGCAAGAGCTTCCGGCCGTCTCGTTCGGGGGCGTTTCAATTTCCGCTCGGGTTGTGGCGGCTGTGGTTCGACTGGCGAAGCAGTCGGGGACTTGCGTTTCCGACGGATCGAGCTGGGGTCATCCTGTATTTCCCTTGCTCTTTCAAACGCGTTCCAAGCCCTTACTTCGTCCAAAGACTCGGGCTCTGGAGTCTCCACTCTTTGTCTTGGTCTTGAGGGCCAGCCTCGTCCGATTTCGAGAAGCGCGGAGGCGGTATCTCTAAATCGGTTAGCTGCTCCCTGTCGCTCAGCAATCTGAAAACGACGTTCCCAGGCGCGGGATTCTCTCCGATAATTAGCGTTGCTTCTTAGTTGTTCTACCCTACGGCCGTGCGCTTGTTCGTCGTCGAAAGGGAAGTCTAGATCTAGGTTGAGGTGGTCCCAGACGGTTTGCCAAACGCGGGCCCAATGAAATGCATTCATCTGATTCCGGCTGCGCGTTCTTCTCTGATCGCTGCGGGTGCGGCGCCCAGACCGATTTCGTGGGCGTTGGCCAACTGCTGAGATAGGTCGCTGTATTTCGCATTGGGAACAGTGCCACGGGCCAGAGGGGACAGAATCCAGTCCGACACAGTAGGTGTGGATGGCAACATCGCAACCATCACAGAGGAGAAGGACCTCTTCGTTATCATCGTATCCACAAATTGGACATGGTTGTGAATCAGATTCATCGCCTAGATCATCCATTATCATTGAAGGGTCGATCTCCGCAACCTGGACACGGTCCTGGACACAATATGAGGAAACAACGGGGCCTATTTAAAATGACAGAACAAAAAACAAAAGGGTTAGCAATCTAAGTCCCATCTAATGAGCAAGCAAAAAGCGCCCGGTTTCGCCTATACAGCAATGTGAAAATCCCTTTAGGAAATCAGTCACATACCTCCAACCGTATCCGTAAGCTCCACCATATTGAAGTTCTGCCGGCAAATGGGACAGCTATTTGCCCTTTCTACCCAAGGTTTCAGGCAGTCGTCATGAAGATTATGGCCACATGGAAGAAGATGGGCAATTTTCCCCGAATCAGTACCGGAGTCTACGTGCGGGGATTTCACCACCACTTCCAGCAAATGAGCTCCTTCATCATCGACCGGCCTTGGCGAGAGGACGTCGTCAATAGAAGGAAGGCGAGGGGGCTCGCTGGCGCCATCGCCAAGGTCTCCTAGACACACTATGCAAGTGTCTGGCATTATCGAGGGGATGGAAGAGTGAATGAATGGATAGGATGTTCTGCGGCGGCATGAAGAGCTGAATTTCAGTTTCTTGAAGGACTGGAGATGGGATGAAGTAGGTAAAGAAGTGGAAGCTGTGGGGAACGAGGGCCGCCTTTTGAACCTGGGCTAAGGAATGACACTAGTCCTAATACGGCCCTAGTACGACAACGTGATATGTGCCACGAACGTAGATTGCCGCTTCTGCTTCGACCTTCTGTAACTAGGAGCACAGCTGAAAGAGATGGATTTATGCATTTGTTACATGTACCTACCTAGGCCACTATCGGACTATTTAAGCTGTGCTATGTAGTAGTATGACAACACCTGAAAGTCATCAAGTCAAAATAATCCCACGTATGCATTATTACTCGTGGATAAATTAGTCATGTCATTGGATCCTTCAACAAACAGGTGTTCAAGCAGGGAACACACCTGGAGACTCTATTTCAGCACCAGCCAAATACCGCAATTTCAGAGCAATTCTTTTGTTGGGGTTGGCTGCGGATAGATGTCCTCACCGCCCACCTCAAAGAATTGCCCTATTTTAGTATCATTGGCCTTTTTATCACGCCAGTGATGGAGAACTGTGACGAATGGTATGCTTGATTTCTGCAGGTGGGGTGGTGCGGGGGTAAATATCGCAAGCCGGAGAGTGACCTCAAGCCTTCTATCGGAAGGCCCTTCATACGACCTTCCCTGCTAAGTTGAGAATCATAATTGGCGTTGATTTTTCATTTGCGACTCCCGAGGTTCTGATTCAGGTAGTGGATTTGGGTGTCGAGGACGATTTTCCTGTCATTTTGCTCCCACGGATTGTGAAAGTTACTGAATGGGTGCGTGAGGGGGCTAACCAAAATAGCGCTTTTAGTAGCCAGTATTTCTCGACAAACTGGCCACTTCCGCTCCTGACTCCGTTAGTTAGCGGCGGTGCAACATAATTAGTTTGGCTAGAGTTTGGTGAGCCTCGAAAAGGTAGAGCAGCACTTCTTATTGGTTGTGCTAGATGCGTAGTTTCTAAAGTAGTTAGTAGCAAGCCTAGGCAATACTCTCCTCGTAATCATTGATAACGTTCATTGATAATTGAGCATGAACAAGCGTCTGAACCATTCTCGCCAGCTGCATGGGCCATGGGAAAGAGAAATTGACCAACGACGAATTATGGCCTGGTCGTGGAAAGAAATGGTATTTTCGATTTGTCTTTTCTCTCTCTCTACTTGGTTGGAAGAAGGTTTCGATCGCAGTAGTTGGGGAGGAACTATCGAATCGAGGATCCCACGGCACGGAGTGTCTATTTATCCCCAGACATTGTCCTCTTGTTTCTCATCATGTACGGGCAGCTAAAACAAATGGAAAGGATAAAAGAGGTGAAACTCCAATTGAGATTTCTTTTTCATTTGCTCAATTGCATCCTCCCAAATTTCCGTTCATTTCATTCGAGAAAAAAAAAAGTAGAAACATTAAAAGACGCAGAAAGAAAAAATAAAAAGACAGCTCAAAACTCCCATCCTTAAATCATCTTTAAACCTCCGCAATTTCTCGGAGACGACGGATGGTCGATCGGGTGGTGGCTGCGGCAGGAGTCCTAATATCACAAGCATCAAAGTAAAAAGCGCGTTTTGTCAGCCCAGTTTCTATTCGATAAAATTGCTGGAGTAAGAGGAAGGAGGTGGAGAGCTTTATCAGCGCAACCGAGGAGGTGTAAACGTACGAGACAGTCCAAGCACCGCCAGCAACGACCTTTGAGCACGATCGGCACTCCCAGATGCCAACAGCCTTGCGCTTTACACTGTTCTTGCCGCAGAAAGTGCAGACGTATCGGGCGTGCTGGGAGACTTCCATCTTCTTCACTTGCTTTCGGAGCGAGGCACCGTATCTGTCGTTCAACGAAAAAAGATTATTGCGTCAGTTCAGCGCTTCTCCTGTCTTGCTTTCTCCTTCATTCTGTTTTCATCTCTTCTCTTTCTCCCATGCAACTTGTCCCTTATCTGCCGCCCTGCCCTTTCTTTTATATAGATATACATCGCTTTCCACCCTAGTTTTTCATGAAACCAATTCCGTCGTAGGGAAAATCTGAGAGAACGTAGCATTCGACTGTGGGATTCAATCGTACCTGGTACCATATTTACCGGTGACACCGACCTCTGTAGAAAGATCGAATTAGCGTGGTTGTCTCAAAATCGACCAAAAAGAACAGTGAAAAGTGAAAAGTGTCAATTATAGGACATACTCTTGGTGCGCTTCGTCATCTTGTCACGCTGGATGTGTAGATGCGGGCAAGGAGAGGTGGAAGTGTGAAGCTGCAAAAATCGGACTGTTGCGTGTTGGCCGTCGTTGAAGATTGTGGGCTCGCTTAGGTCAAAATTCGAGACTTGGCGCGGTGGTTTGAGCGGATGCAACATCACGTGAATTGCCATCACGTGAGCTTTACAGTTTGACCAAGTGCGGATTTTTTGACTTTGAGATTATTTTCATCCCGACCCATTAACTAGATCTGTCATTATTTAATTCCACAACAATTTGTAGCTCAAATTTGCGCACCTGGAATGCAAATGGATGATATTTGCTGGATTATCCATACACAAGTTAACTATCTCATTCTTGCAAGTCCCCCGAACGGAATTTTTGCTCCCCCAACGGAACACTAGTTAATTTTACGCTGAAAGAAACCGGGATATTTCATGTTCTAGAAAAGAAATCGATCAAATTTGCATCATATCAAAATATTCCTTGGATCCTTCACTCTTTATGACATTGGGAAAATCAGAATCAGGGTTCCAACCTAAACCTGAATTATTCCAATTTCGTCTTGATGAAAATATATGGCACGTACACCAATGAGCTCAACTCTATGGTCATGGATGCCCCATCACCGGCCATGGTAAGTATGTAAGTATAATAGCCATTAGTGTACCTATCACATGGGGGGGGCGGCAATAAATAAGAACAGGAATTACATACTATGATTTTCCTTTCACCTTCATGATAAAACCACAAACCAGGTTATTCCAAGACCTTCCCAGTAACTAATGGGTTCCAAAATTGTGATATGATGATATCATCGTGAGCCATTGTTGAGGCACCTCAGACGGAGAACTGACTGATTTTGTATGCGATATATTCCTTCGGTTCTAATTAGTGGTCGTCTTTTTCGCTTTTTTTCTCTTGATGCTTGGCCCAAATTGGCCAAAACAACTCGACCCATACAACCTGAAGGATCTTTTGATGTAATAAGGCACGCGCCAATAAATAGTATCAGAGCTCATAACTGCATGAAATAATGGCATCAAACCGGCATTTCGACATTGTTCTTCTCGGCGCGACGGGATACACAGGGAAGCTATGCGCCGAACATATTGTTCAGAATCTTCCCACGAACCTGAAGTGGGCAATTGCTGGACGGTCTACAGGAAAACTCAGCGCCCTCGCGGAGGAACTGCTCAAAATTAACCCCGAGCGCAAAGGACCGGGTATGTTTACTCAATGGACCTTTTCTTTTTCAGTTCCTTGTTCTGTTAAGAGTATGGTTTTGTTCTGAGGATTGCTGATATTCATTCCCTGAGATGTTGACAGAGATCGTGACTGTGCAACTACAGGCTGCAGAGTTAAATCAACTTGCTAAACGGACTCGAGTCCTTCTTAACTGTGTCGGGCCGTATCATCTGTACTCGACGCCCGTCGTGGAAGCTTGTGCGAACAATGGCACTCATTATCTTGATGTGTAAGTATTGCTCATACTCCCACTTATCCCGTCCAAAGGTATGTACATACATTGCACATGTATTTACTGGATACTTGATCCACAGGACTGGCGAGATGCCCTGGGTTAAGGAGATGATCGAGAAATATCATGAAAAAGCCAAGGAGACGGGGGCAATAGTGAGTGATAAGCTGACTTTCATAAATCCTGGGATAGCTAGGACCTTTATACTTACCACTACTCACTTAGATAATATCAGCAGACGGACTTGAATGCGCTCCCACAGATCTATTGACTTGGGCGCTCGTCAAACATATCAAGGATAAATTCTCTGTCCACACTAAGGAAGTCATTAGTTCTATATACGAACTGAAGTAAGTAAATGTCCTCCGAAGATTATCCAAGCTTCAGCCTTCTAACGCTCTGGTCCATGTAGAACCGCGGGAGCGAGTGGTGGAACCCTCTCAACCGTCATAGGCATGATGGGTAGTGTGCCTCTGAAGGAACTATTCAAGGCACAGAACCCATATTACCTCTCCGCCAGCCGACCTAAAACACCCTATTCTCCGCCCCTTCTCCAGAAACTTCTCGGCGTCCGCATAGTGCCTGATCTAGGTACGATGACCAGCTATGTCACAGATCATTGCGACATCGCCATCGTTCATCGCAGCAGCTCCCTAATGCCAGACCTATACGGGCCGGACTTCCGCTTCGAAGCTTTCGCGGCCGTTCGCAATGTCCTAGTCGGAGTCGTCCTGCACCTTTCCGTCATATTTGGAATGCTGGCCCTGACATTGCCGCCCGTGCGCTGGCTGGTGAGTAAACTCATCTATGCACCGGGCGAAGGGCCGGCTAAGAAGAACACTACGGGTAACCGGATTGAGTATCGAGCCCTGGCAACTGCCCAACATAAATCTCCTGAAGGGAAACCCATCAAAGTGCTTGGGACGTACAAGACTAATGGGGATGCGTATTGGATGACGGGAGTGTTGCTTGCAGAGTCGGCTATGGTTCTGTTGAAGAGTAAGCGGATTTCACAGGAGGTTAAAGGTGGGTATTTGACGCCTGCGATATTGGGGCAGGAGTACATTGATCGGTTGGAGAAGATTGGGATTACGATTGAGACGAATGTATTGGAGGGTTGAGGAGAGGACATTTGTATGTCGTTCCTTTTTTTCTCTTTTCAAGGAATCTTCACAGCTCGACTCATGCCCAGCTAGTATTGATAACATAATTCGGAGTGCTTTAGGAAGTGGCATCTTCCGGACTTCTACTGCTTGTTATCTTTCCTTATATATGCATATACATATATGCACATTGATAAATACAACATCTGAGGATCATAGTAAATTATATGATAATTACATCAGGTTGTGGGGACAGTTTTATTGTTCTTCGTTTTCTTTAGCACCCGGGCTGTTCCACAAATTATCCCTGCTTGTTGACTTCAGAGCTGAAGTTCAACTGAAGGCTCTGGGATAGGACGGAGTTTCCCAGCTGAAGGCAGCCCCCATTAAAGGATAACGATATATGAAGAGCAAGCATCATCAACAGAAACCGGGAACGTGCCAAGGAATATGTCAGCATCAGCTAATCATATGGCCGCCTGAGGGTGAAAAGGGATCAGTCGCCAGCGGAGTCTCCTCTAAGTCCCTCGACAGAGAAGTATTTATCTAACACAATACAAACTATAGCACACGAATGCACAATGGCCGGGTGAAAGCCAACGACCTAAGCAACCACCTGCCGTTACTCGTACCAATCCACCTCTGATGAACATTTCAAGGTGTTTACAATTTGCTCTTCCCACCAAACACCACCGCCTCCATCCATTTGCTAATGGCCTCATTACATTCCGTTGACGCTTGCCAGAGTGCCCAATGGCCCGCCGTAACCTCCGCCGTGGTGAGGTTAGGCAAGTACTTGCTCATGTTACGAGATAGAGCAGGGCGGAGGGCTTCATCTTGAGTTGCAAGGATAAACAGGACAGGGATGTCCAGCTTGCGGCCCAGAAGGCTAAGGTCATCCTTGTAGTTTTGCTCGCGTGTGCGGTACCAGTTTACTAGTTGATTCGTCAGGTTTAATTGTGAAGTTAACAAGGCAGAAAGTTTCAAAGCAGGTAGACTCACATGGACCGTGAACACCATTTCTTGCATACTCATCGACGTAGTAGTTCAGCTCCTACCATAAGATTGTCAGTGAGACATTACTCTGTCAACTTTAACAAAAACAAAGATGTGTGCGCATAGGTTTACTGGACGATGCCAAATATAAACAAGTTCAAGATAAGGTGGGAGGCGCATACCTCTTCACTTATCACCTTCGACCTCTGCAAGTGCTGGAACTTATCCAACAAAACCCCGTTAAATACATCAAACCCGAACTCACCCGTGGGGGTCCTTCCCCCATATAACGATAGCAAAAATTGCCTTATATCCCTCTTACTCTTGATTTTCTTCTCTAGCTCCCCGCTGACGAACTGCAACTGATATCCGAAATAGGGGAGCCTTGTTTTGATGAGAGTCTCGAGGGGGATGTACTCTTTTGTTGGAGGGCTGTAAGGAGTGCAGACTGAAAAGAGGTGGGTAACAAACCCCGGATGGTATAGGGCAATGCGATATATGGCAGATCCGCCCCTGGACCTCAGCGTTAGACAGCTCTATAGAGACAGACCGCATAATGGATTGACGATGCGTGGAGCTGAACAGCTCCTTAATTAAAAGTCACAGCAGAGCTTTCGAAGACGGCATTTGATACCCATGGCGTGATCGAAATTTAAGGGAATCGTTACGTGTGTTGTACATACCAATCGTGCCCTCCAAGGACAATTTGAGAGGTGCCCAGCTGGCGTGCGAGCTCCTTCATATCATCTGCGCACTGCTTGAATCCATATCGCGCGGCCGATTCTTCCGAAAACTCTGGAGCTTCCTAGGTTTTAAAGACAAAAATTTGAGCCATTTTCCAATTCCGCAATCAATTCCAGCACTGGGAAACCACGGCCTTTTCAGAGAATAAGGGAAACGTACCGTCCTTCCATATCCCATGCAGTCAGGAGCAACAACTCGAAAGCCCAGCTTTGTCAAGGCAGGAATCTGGTACCGCCATCCCATCGATATATCGGGAAAGCCATGGATCTGGGAGGATTAGCACACGCTGCTTTCTGTTCTAAACTTGCTATTGAGCTATGGATATCAAAATAGACAAAAAAGCACCCGAGAAAGTGAACCAAAACAAGAGATAGGATTGGGAGATATTCGTATCAAGGAGTTGCAAATGAAATGTGATTTCTACTCAAAATGGAACACTTGTTCAAGCTCATAGGCTATCGCATAAACTTCAAGAAGGGGTAGAACTAGCTTCCAGGAAGAGGGGAATTGGAACATACCAAGAAAACTGTAGCTTTGTACTTCCCCCCTTCGGGCAGACTCAAAAGATATCCTGTTCCCGAGTCAGATCAAGAGCGGGAAAAGGTAACGACACTGATGTGCAAAGACGTGGTTGGGAATCATCTCTGTCTCCTTGCCCTTCCCATCCGAACAAGGAGAGAGTCTCAGACTAAATATTCATACCGTAAGTTGTTCCATTTAACACTGCGGTGCAGTGCCGAATTCTTGAATCTCCGGTGACAGATATTTTGTCCGCCATGGTGTAGGGAGGGTTCAAAATAATGGACAGGATTGAACCAGTAGCCGCGATTAAATTGGGTACTGGAATTTCTCTGCTAAACCTGTTCAATCCTATTGCTATTGCCAGCTCTCTGGATTACCTAGATTATATTATATGTATATGGAAACACTCAGCTTCACGGCGTCCCTGTCCTGATATATGGAGTAACTTACATGAAAGATGCCGAGGCTCGATCGCTAGAGGATGGGTTAGCCGGCGTGGAAACGCTAAATAATTCCAGGGTTCGTGGTTGGTTGGGTAACTAGATGACTGGCTTAAAATCAAACGGATTTTCTGTGCTTGAACTTGTCGATTCAAGGGATGCATATCAATTTTAATATACCGCGGAAGTATATCCAGCGCATCCGGCAGCATTTCTTTTTCAGCAAAGATGCGACAGCAAATGTAAGCTGGTGAATCCTCACGCGTATCCCACGCTTTCCCCCAAAGGACCTCTTAGCAAAAGTAAGCTGCTACGATGACCTTTTGAGCCAGCGTGATTATCTTGCTCCTGCCGATACTCCAGAGGATACACCTCTTTTTGATCTTTATCGCCTTTACGAACACCTTGATCTCAATCGCACCATAGACATACGCAACGAACTGGGAAGGTTCTGGTTCAATAGGTGGTCGGTCTCATCCATCGCTGACCCAAAAGATCATTCAGAGCGTGAGCTGTTCTAGCCGCTATCCCTGCGCTCATGGTAACCTCGTTCAATAAACGAGTAGAGATTGGGATACCTCGATCGGCTGATGCTATTATACTTCCTGAAGAGATGGAGATGTATCTGAATGCGCCCAAGATATACGGAACGGTTCCTGAGTGCCCGAAGAAGGTTGAGCCGCTGGAAGAAGTGTTGAAGATGGCGAAGTGCTTGAATCATTTGAGGACCCAAGAGCAGGTAGGGAACTGCAAGAAAAGAGTATTTTATGTTGGCAGCCACATATCCACTTCATATAAGCCTACTGAGAGAGCATTTTATATCTTGTACGTGCGTGATATGTGCACAAATATGTATGTAATCTTTTTGATGAAACGAATTACGATGCTAGTTCTTTGATATATAAGAGATGGATAGCTACATCTATGTGAGTGATTTGCCTTTCAATGTTCGAAACCTCCTTGTGCGAACGAATGCTATACCGAAGGGCATTTGCATACATTTTCACTTCGACATAGAACTAGTGGTTTGTTCCTACAGTATGTGACTCTCTGACTAACTCAAGGGCCATTACATCTCCAATACAACGGGCGTCTTCTGGTCTCTAATAATATTCGCTCCTGGCGCAATAGCCGCATTGATCAATATCGTCTCCCGTGGCTGAGGAAGACCCAACAACATCCGAACCCATGCCACAGTCATCCAAAAGCTCATTCGAAATATTGCAGACAGTCCGCTTCTATGGAGGTATATCTCATCTCGTGCGTTCTGCACTCGGTCGTGCACTAGCCTGTCCACTCCGTATCCATCATGGATATGCCCAAAAACACTAAGCTGCGGCTTCACCCTCCTTAGCTCTCTCAACAAATACCCATCACCTGTTCTCTCAACATCGCAGTAAAGCAACGGCGGACCATGGAGTACCACTATATCAGCGTCATCAGGGATCCGGCCAGTCCAGACATCCCTGATGGGTGGATACTGAAAAGCCCAGACGCCGAATTCTGGCGTGTGAGGAGAACCGTAAACATTCAGCTTCCTGCCGTGTGGGAAAGTCAAGGTAACAGAACGGTCCTGGAGGTAAATAATATGCATCCAATCTAGTGAGTCAAGTAGCGATTGCTTGGAATGGGCCGGAGAAAGGCGAGAAGGAAATCGTCGGGCAAAATCTGGACCAAGCACGAGATCGTGGTTACCAACTATAACAAGGTTAAGTCACCAGCGTGGATGAGAAGGTCGCCATTTGGGAACCTCTAGTGTGGAGCTGTGTGTGTCTGAGATACAAACAACCCGAATCGGGCTGGCTACGGATAGCGGTGGCTGAGGCTGCCGAAGACGAAGGTGAGTTTCGTAGAGAAATTTACCCAATGTTCCGCAAGAGATTACAGGGGGAGTCGTCGTTTGGTTATAAGGGTACGGCAATAGGTGGCTGTTCATTTTCGCTGAGTTAGGAAATGCCGGTGAACGGAGAGTCCAGGAAATGCAAATGACAGTTTTGGTGCAAAACCCTTTATGAATACGCCTGGGAACGGCTCGTCCCCTCCACCGACATCTTGTCTAATAATAACTAATTGATCAGCCCACTCCATAAATTTGCCTATACAAGTCATTGATAGTTTCCAACACGGGGATGGTAACTACTTTTTGACACATCTTTCCCCAGCATATGATGTCTGAAGGCTGGACGGGGGAATTGCCGTGCTATGAAACACCCTCGTGAGGGTATCCAACAGCATCACATGGAAAGCATATTAGGATCGAATGTATAGAACACCCATGAATAATAATGTATGACAATTTAGAAATCAATCATTATTTCAAGCCCGTGATTCAAGGAAAGAAAGAATGAAAGAAGTGGGCAAAGGGCAATCAAATAAATTCGCTCAACATTTCATTATCCCGCTCCCATGTTCTTGGTCTTTGATTTCCATCACACCAGACAGATAGAGCTTACCCGACAAACCATTCGCAACTAATAAGATGCCCACAAACACATATATATGGTGGATATGAAATAGGTAGGAAGGGAAAAAAATAAAGGACGCTCACAAGCTGCACTGCGGGTCGAATGACTGGAAATGATAAGTAGGCGCGCCAAAAAAAAAGAAATGCAGGAAAAAGGTGACCGATGGGAATAAGGGGGTGCAAGCGAGAAGGCGAAGTTGCTTGATCGATTTACAGGGTAACGTGGAAAGTTTGCCGGAAGGTGGAGTAAAGGAGAACGAACAGAGGGTATTGGGGTGGAAGGTGGTGTTGCTTGAACCTTTGGAGGACAAGTGTCGAAGAGGGGTGCTCCGTGGGGTATATATGACCAAAAATTGAGGAAATTGAACGCATATGCTGCCCGAGAAGGTTGAAGCAAATTTAGTCTAATATATAACAGTATCCTCCTTGTCTTCCAGCATGACTTCTCCCGAATCATCTTCAGTTGACTTCTGATGGTGGCTAACGCTAGCAGTGGATGGGTGGTCGTTGTGAGTTTTAGTAGGGGATGAAGGTTCGTTAGTAGCATCAGAAACAGTAGGATGGTCAGAGGTAGTTGGGGCAGTAAGAGTAGGGATGTGTCTTGGAGATTCAGATTTAGTAGTTGTGGTTGGCTTAGGTTTATGGTCAAGTTCAGGAGGGTTGTTATTACTATTATTGTCAGCACCCACCGTGTCGGATTTTAAATGTACTGTGTCCTGAGTATCAGAAAGCGTATTATTCCCTGGAAGCACGGCTGAGCTTATTGAATCTGTAACGGTTCTTTGGTTGTCACCTTGCTCCGGTACAGGATCGGAGGGCGATGGTGGATTTTTGGCTTCAAACTCCTCGACTTCCCTCGCGATGGCCGCTTTGCAATCTTCGATTTGCTGCTCAATCCTGGCTTCTTCCTCAGGTCGAAGTTCCCATGGCTTATAGTACTAATTATTAAAATGTTAGCCCACACTACACAACGCGGCATGCGAAGTATCTCTTTTACGTACAAGAACTGGTTCAGTTGTTGTTTTGAGGAAATGAGCCATGGCTAGCTGGTTCGAGTGTCGGAGACGCATCTAAAGAAAGCAAACGAAATTAATATATAGGAAAATTCAGCGCGAAGCGAACACACTGTAGGATAGCAGCAAATGCTAACATACCGACTGCGCATCATAAGTTCTCTGTTGCTTCTTTCGCATCGCCAAGAGATCTTCTTGCTTCTTCCGTGTCAGTCTATTGTACTCTTCCTCCTGCATACGGAGTTTTGCCTGTTGTTTCTTCTCGATATCGGCGCGTCGTTTCTGTGCTGCTGTAGATGAGCTCTGTGAGAGTGTACCCAGCAGCGCGCCAAACAATCTTTGACCACGCTTGCGCTCCTCCGCTACGCCACTCTTCCGTCGGGCATCCCTCTGGTCTGTGGCATTACTGATGCTTTTAGATGTGGCTATCGGGGAGGATGTTTGGTTCTCCTTGGGTTCGAGATGTTCGTTGTCTGCGCTCAGCCGGCGACGTTTGCTCTCATTGTCGTCCGCTGGGGACTGGCGGCGCTTTGGCCTGCTATCTGAGCTTTCTTCCTGCTCGGGAAGTGCAACGGCCGATGTGATTGTCCTAGGACACAGAAAATATCATGTTAGTTTCGTGTGCTCAACCAGCTGGTCACTTGAACGCAATGCCAAACGTAGGTTTGACTTACTCCTCCATCGCTTGTAAAGGTGTGTTCGGGTATAATAAATCAAAGAATTAAGTGGATTAAGATAGAGAGACACCGCCGCTAAAAAGAAAGACCGATAGATCAGAGAGGAGTCTTTGTCCCGCGTCGGTCTAATCTGTCTTCTATGAACTAGATGATTCGCCGCAACGGAGTCTCAAGGAGGGAGCTATCCGTGGACGGGACGCGGGATGGGAAAGTTATTTAATTGGGTCTAGCGCAATACAGACCCTTGAATTACAAATTTCCTTCCGGAAACTGACATATTTCCAACTAGCAATGCCCAGTTCTCTACATATTTAAGAGCCAACGGGTGTTGTCCTCTTGTTAACTATAACTCAAGCCCAAGCTCTATACTAGCGAATGAATATTTGCCTGACAGACTACCAAGCCCAAGCAAATAGTGGCGGCTTCTGTGCCAGACCCAGACAGTGTCCAGCAATCCGCGTCAATTCCACGCAAAACTGAGTAACTTGACACGATCTCTTCCAAAATACTGCGAGGACACAAGAAGCGGTTGTTTCCTATAATCCATAGCACGAAGCCGTTCGTAATCGGGCACGCCCGCTACTTGAAGAACAAGCCGCAACCTCCCACATCCTGAACAGCCACAACCACCGCTACAACCATGTCCCGTCACCACCCCGATCTCGTAATGTGCCGCAAGCAAACCGGAATTGCCATCGGCCGTCTCTGCGATAAATGCGACGGTAAATGTCCGGTCTGCGACTCGTACGTGCGGCCCACTACCCTCGTACGCATCTGCGATGAATGTTCTTTCGGCAACTACCAGAACAAGTGCATCGTATGTGGCGGGGAGGGGATTAGTGACGCCTTCTACTGTTTCGAGTGTACTCGATTGGAGAAGGATCGCGATGGGTGCCCGAAGATTATCAACCTGGGTAGTTCGAGGACGGATTTGTTTTTCCAGCGGAAACAGCATCGGGCAGGGGTATCTTGATGGGGCGTATCTGAGCTACGGGTTTTGGGTTTAATGGGAATGATGAAACCTGTCCTTTCTTGGGGAGAGCAGAGAGAGAGGTAGTGAGATATTGGAAAGGGGCAGAGAAAAGAAGAAGGCGTTCAATTATTTATGTTGACCGTTTATTGATTTTGATTCACGAATTTTAACGGGATATCGAGCTTGCGACGGCGTCCAGGCTACGGGTTTTACAAATACCAAAAGGATCTTAGATTTCTAGAGGGTGCGGAACTGGCTACGATATATAGGGGGATACCGGAGAGCAATAATACGAAAAAGACATTCTGACAATAGCAATATCCGACGATTCTTGAAATTGGAACAGCACCCTGGACTCGTGATCAGACCAGCTTAGACCAATCCTGAGAAACGGGACCAATTCAAGGGCGGCAGACATCAAACCTTTCACCGGCCGGGTCTCTTGGGTCTTGCAAATGTTTGTCGAACCTCTTCCTTTCGTGGATTGACTTGTTCCGCAAGGCTTCCAGGTGTGATGTCTGTGGGTTCCGATGCCTCAACCTGAGAGAAAAACCCCGCGAAATTAGCGTTTGCACACGAAAGTAACGCCCTTCATTATTCTTCACATGGATCATAGGTACCTTATGCGCAACTTCTACACCCTGTAGAACAGCAAGCTTCACCACGTCATTCCGCGAGCTAGCGTGCAATAGGCGCTCCTTGATTACGGAACCAGATGGGCAGGTGTATATGAAGATGACTGCTTTGGGGTCCGGATAGTAATAAAATGTGTACTGGGCCTTCGAGTCTGAAATCAGGTTTGATATGGAATCAGGTTCGACATTCGACTCAGTGGAGATTAGAGTGAGAGTTTCGGTTGGCACGTCAATAGTCTGTATATTATAGCACAAAAGCAAATTAGATTAGCATAATGGAATAGTCAGCACGCCATGTCTTGATTCCAAAAAGTGTGGCCACTTTACGACTCCCATGGCCATCGATTAGGAGGTCAGACAGTAGGACAATAGGATAGGAAAACAACTCACCAACCGGATAACCGAACCACTTTCCCGCACCTGCTGGAATGCCTCTTTTACCCCATTCCCAATTCCAATATGCAGTTCACTCTCCCCGTTTCCATTCCCACGCCCAATGGTCCCTCCAATCCCCACATCCCTCCGGGTCATACTCCTCGCTTGCTCCTCCTGCCTCCTAACTTCATTCAATTCCCTCTCCTTCTTGCCCATCAAATCCTCCCTCCTACTCTCCGCTTCGTTATCATCCGCAGCTCCGCCTGTGGCCGCATTCCGATCCGCATCCCTCTCCTTCCAAACGGCAGCATCAAGAACCTCCTCCGCATCCGCGGCGAAGATCGTGCTGGCGAATTTCTCGCTGCCAAGCTCGCGGACGAGAGTTGCCCGTGTGCTTGCAAACAGGGTCTTTGAACGTACGGGCGATGTGGACGGGATATATGTGAGAGCTATGAGGGCGTTGGAGCCGGCGTTGCGGCGGAGGATGAGGTAGATGGGGGTTTTCGGTTGCGTGTGCGGGGCAAGGAGGGGTAGGGAGTTGCTGAATTTGGTATCATCGTCAGCGGAGGATAAGGGGAAAGCGATCGGTTCCAGAGGGGTGAGACGCTCGGAGGAGATTGTTGCGGGGAGACAAAAGTGAGAAGGCGTCGAGACGAAGGCATTGAATGCGTCGTGCAGCTCAGGGGACACTGGGGAGCGGCGCGGGGTGGTTGGCTTGTTAGCGTTTGGGGTTTCATTAAGGGGTGTAAATGGCGAAATCTAGAGGTGATGATATACCTGATATTCCAGACTGCATGTTGTACTTCTCTTTCAGGATGTGAAAGCTGCCCTATAATTGTATGTACGTTTGTTGCAGAGAGGATGAAACGGGATGAACTTGCTTGTCGACTTGGGCGAGGTTAACCTGGCTTAGCCTCAGCTTCCAACTAACTTAGTTACTAGTTAGTTAACTAACTACCCCTCCTTCCTAGTTACCTACTACTTGCCAACATCCATGTTGTCTAACCTACGGAGTAACTACATAGTAGTGTTTCAATCCAATTGTTTTTTCTATCTCGAAATCTATATCCTTTGCGATTAATTTTATTATTTTATTATCTGAGAGACATTATAAGAATTATGGTTTTGGCTGCGGAAATGCTGCTCCCCCCTTTATTTCAGTGATTGGTTGTCAATGGATTGGACTGGAAACCTCAAGCATGGCTGAACCTCAAGAGAGGCGATAGCATTAAAATAACCTCTATATTCTTTCCCTATATACATTTGCCCAAGTGGCAATAAATAAACAATGCCAGAATTTATCGATACAGGAATAAAAATTGTTTAGCTCCAGAAAGAAAAGCAGAAAAATAAGAGATGAGGGTAGGGTAGAGGCAGGAAAACAATAATGGCGCTAATATCCACACAAAGAAATTGGATATCTATCTAAAGCAATACGCTGTAACTAGATGTTTGAGAGCCCAACAAAAAAGGAAAAGGAAACCCGGGAGGAAATCTTAAATGGAATCAACATGCAAGTTCCAAGGTTACACCTCTGTATAACCCATAGTTACCCGCAATGGAAAAGCGTAAGTAAGAGCCGCTGCCACAGTTTTTTGTTACTTCTAAATACAAGGTGATTCCCCTTGATACCCAGCGCAGACACTCAGGGACAAAAAGCCACGAGCTAAATCACTCAGTATACTTGTTGCCACCCACAATCGACCACGGCGACCGCTCCAGGCGCTCCTTTATGAACTCATACACGGTAAACGTAACGGCCTGGCCAGGTGCAACACGCATGACACGAGGTGTGATACCCTTATAGAATGCTCTGGCGCCCTCCTGCTTGAACATCTCGCTCGAAATGGTCGTAATGCGTGAAAGAGCCGTTTGGCCGGGTTGAGCGGGAGTTCTTTGCAGCCGGGTTTTGATCGTATCAATGGGCGCGTTGGAGAAGGGGCCCATAGCTCCGGATATCAAACCAATAACCATGGTCTGGTAACTAGGAAGCTCCTTCTCGGAATATTGGGGCTGCCATTTTTGAAGGAGCGCCTTGAGTTCGGTATATGCAGTGAAGTTGACGGCTTGGTTGGTACCCTGTCGGAGAGCAGTGAGAGAAACACCGCGATATAGAGCGCCGAAACCCTCCTCCCGCACAACAGTGAGGAGAGCATGTGGCGCGCTGCGGTATTTGGGGGTGTCGAGAGGATCAGCTAGGCTGTGCTGTTGCGCCTGGAGACGAATCTTGATCACTTCCATGGGCGTGACGACTGCGACGGCTTCTGTAACACCAGCCGCAAGACCAGCTAAAATTGGACATAAAATGTAAGTGATATTGAACTGAGAAAGGGATAAATAAACCCTTATCAAAGGTTTACTCCATCTAACGTACCAAGCATGTTAGCAGAACCGGAAAGTTTCCCTGTTTCCTTATTACTGAGAGCCTGCTTGCACCACCCATATGATGTGAATCGAATGGCCATCTTCGGTACTATTCCACTCAAGACAGCACCAAGACCCTTATATAAACCGAGAGCTGTCTCTCTCCTCACAATTTCCCGCCCAGTCGAAACGAACCCCCGAGGTTTTACCTGCACCACATACACCGTTAGCCTTAACGCCAGGATCGTAGTTTAAATGCCAGACAAGTTAGATGAGAGCTTACCCCTGGTGCCCGCGCTCTTTTTGACAGTTGCATTCGGACCTTAACGGTATCTAGACCACAGGAAAATGAGCCCTTGTCCAACGCATACCTAAAATTCGAAGCCTTGATACAGGCAAAAAAAGGCAAAATTCCATACCTAGAGGATGGCACACGAGTGCTTCCATCATTCCAGCAGTACCACCAGCTATATTCTCAGTCAGTCACAATGAAGCCCTAATCTGGCTTTCGGATGGAGGGTTATTGAACGAACCAATTAAGTTGGTAGCCGCCGAGGCGGGCTTTTTCCCATTGGGACCATTTACATTCTTTGAAGACATGTTGATATGGTGTGAAGGAGTGGAGAGGGAACGAAAGGAGAGAGGGAGGTGAAGAGAGAGTATGCGCAGGTTCAACGGCCCCTAACTGCTATCTTTAAACGGCGGAGTTTCTAATATCCAATTTTGAGCAATGCAATTGAATGAGGAAAAGAAAAAGTCGTAGAAGGAGAGTTAAAGGATGAGTAACTGCCTATCGGAAATGCCGAGGAAGAGAATTAAAAAAAAAAGGCGCAATAAGCTTTTTCTATAACAAGAGGATAATATATCTAGGACGGGAAATTTAGAAATTGAGACCCAGTAGGTAGCAGTTGGAGCTAATAATGATGCAAAAAAGGTAAGCTCTATTTTATTTTCAATATCCCCGAAATTATTTGTACAGTTAAAACACGGCGCCTTGAACAACCAGGAAGCGGTATTATCTCGCTGTGCAGGCCCATCCCATGGGCGAGCGGAAGGATGGAGGATGATGACCTCTGACACCGGAAGCAGGGTCAAAAAAGGCCATTCCAAGAGAAATACCAACCGGGATTCTTTTTTCTCATTTGCCTTTGTGAAAACGGGTAGGGAAGAAGAAAAATCGCTGAGCATCCGAAGAAGAATCAACCTCATTTACTACCATTTCTCCATACAGCTTCCTTCCTCTATATTACGCCATGGCCCGTGGCGAGAGTTGAAAACGTCCAGATCTCTCAGTCCCGAGGTCCAACGAGCTAAGCTGGAGATCCCGTAACAATCCCACCCTCCTCTATAATAAGAATTACCACGCCTGGCGCAAGCTGGACCTGCATGACCCTTCCCAGATCTCACCTGATTCGAATGAAAGAAAGAAAAAGACATGTGAACGCATCCCACCAATAACCCTTAACATCATTCCGTGATATCTCTCCCCAAGCTTAGCACTCTACAGCGTGCTTCACATGCCTCACGGCAACCACCGATGGAGTTTAGTGCGGGCAACAGCAAGCCCATGTTTCCTTTTTCTGCGGGGCAACAATTTCGCGCTTAGGGCTTCTGTCTCCCCGAAAACGGGTAATCTCGGGGCTTTGTGGGGAAGCCCCCCGAGCTGGGTTTTCGCGGCTTTGCCGAATGGATGAACTACGTGATTAACTATGTAAGCGAAACCCACTCGACGCTGCGAGGGTACCTCGCGCGCGAGAAATATGTGCGAAGGTACTTTTTTCTGCAGAAGCTGGCGCCGGCAGATGCCGAGGTTCGGCTAAGATAACTTAAACAAGCTTGAGGCAGGAAGGAACATAAGTTTTTGGAAAAATAGATATTTCACCTCCTGGTTGAGAAGAGTCATCGGGAGCTACGGCTTGGAGGGAGTCATACAGCGGGAATATGGTTTTACTTAAATTTGAAGTCTCGGTAATTTTTTGTAGACCAGTTTTATTTGGAGCTCGCGGCTCGCGGCTAGCGGTAGGCTGGTTTTCTATGAGAATCTAATCAGATAAACGTATAAGTTACAGTTCATGTAATGTACTAGAGTTATGGGATGCCTCCGCCGCCATAAACTGTGTAAGTTTGGGAATTCAAATTTGGCCTAGTGTAAGTTAAGTTACGTCTGTACTGCCAAGCAGAGTTGCGAAGAGATGTAGATGAGCACAGGGCTCAAAAATGTATAAACCGAGTTCGGAGGTCAAGGTCGTTGCATTAACTTAATTGTATAAAATAGTTTTTCAACATTCCACGGATCTGTCTACACTTTCCAAATTGCATCGGTGGTACTGTAGACATGTTTCCATTTCGACCCCACATATATATATATGGGAGAGCGTTTTGATATTGCGGAGCTCTGCCAGCCAGGTACTATGCCTCACATAAAAGGTGCTGAGAGTGGTGGCTGTATAAGTGAAGAGAATGGTAGTTCTTCCTTTGACACGACTGTTTGCTGCAATAGCGGTTGGACAGGCGAAAGCGGCCAGAAACGGTAACTTAGCGAACAGATGCAACTGGAGGGAGCGGTGATGGCCATTGACATTGAGGAGAGGAAGATATTCATTCGGATGGAGCTTTCCAGGGGGCGAATTAGCCTGCGTAAAATCTTCGATAATCAGGCAAACTCTTTTCCCAGAAGGGATGATGGCCTGATTGGATGCGGCAGGTTCAGTGAGAGAAAATTGGGTAGAATGGCTTGCATATTTCAATTTCCCGCTCTACGCCGCGACTGGGAACTGCTCTATGCAATTCCCTTCATGGCAGTAGAGTATCAAAATTAGGATGAAATATATATTGTCCGCTTTCGTGCATTGAATCTTGTGACTCCTCAAGTATCTGAAATGCCTTACACTGGGGCGGCAATCCCCATAGGACAGTCCTAATTCTGCATGTACGCAGTTGAAACTATTAATATTTGCAAATCAATTGGAGGCTCTCGCCTAAACTTCGGATTCATTGTAGAAGGAGACAAACTGATGCATAATCAACGCCGTCTATAGGTTTCATGCTGTGATTTTCTTTGCGGTTGCCTGTTTTCCACCAATCAGGCGAACAGGAAAATTTCAAAAGTCTTCCTCAGATATTATTATATACTCCCTCCGTTTAGAGTTTTGCACCACATTCATTGTTCCACTCGTCTCAAGAGTATCACACTACTGCTTTTCGACGTGCGGGAGGGATCTGAAGTTTCTGGGGAAATGGTATACAGCATGGCAGCATGTCTTCTCCACATTACAATTTTGTCCCCACCACCACCCCAGCTAGTCGCTGTTAAGCAGCGACTAGTTAAGTGCCAACACCCAGGATGGAGCAGCGACATTCCCGGTCTCTGCATTTCTATTTCCATCTCCCTCTTATTTCTTTGTCAAGGCCACTGCGGAGGAGGAAGGCGCTTTCCCTTTGCTTTTCTGCGCAACCTATAATCCACTTTGATAAATAGACTGTGGGAAATCGTGTCGCTGGGCTTATAGTGTAGCCCATCTATTCCCCATGGAAACAAAATATATGGCTATCGTTTTGGGATATATTATGGTCACAGCGTTGGCATATATAAATGCGAGCTGGCCCCCGATAGTAACGCCTCGATAGTGAGAGGAGACGGGAATATACTATCACATTTTTTGGATACTTCCCCAGAAGATTTGCCAATGAACCCAATCAGCCGAGGGGTGGATATAAAGCATTTCATATCCTACTCATCAGAGGTGTTCTCCCTGCGGCGGCGACATTTTTTAGAGACGCAACATACATATTCAGAAATATTCCAGTCATGGAACCCCGATCCATCTCTCCACTGCCCCCGGGGAGAGCGAAGAAGCCCCTTTCCACAATTATTCTCAAATTCATTCTTCACCAGTGGCTCCTTATCGGCTTCGGCATTGGCTGCGTGCTCGCATACTACTTTCCGGAGGTGGGCAAACACGGCGGCATCATTAAAGCTGAATACTCTGTCTTATATGGTGCCGTGGCCCTCATCTTCCTGATAAGCGGCCTTTCCATCCCCAAGGACAAACTGCTCAGGCATATGATGAATTTTCGTCTGCACCTCCAAGTCCAGGGTGTCTCATTTTTGGTTATCCCCGCCATAATAACTGGACTGGTGCGTTTGATTGATGCCACGGACCACGCTGAAAAGATCGATCGGGCTGTGTTGGCTGGGTATGTAATATTGGCATGCCTACCGACCACCATTGCGTCAAATGTGGTGATGACTCGGGCTGCTGGTGGGGATGAAGCGGCGTCGTTGGTCGAGGTATTCATTGCGAATATCTTGGGTCCATTCGTTACGCCTGGTTGGGCGGTGGCGTTAATGCCCAAGTCTAGCACATTTGATGTGTGGAAGGAATCGAACGGTGACTTACAAGGGATGTACCAGAGCGTTTTTAAGGGGTTGGGGTTGAGTGTTTTCCTGCCGCTGGCGGTGGGCCAACTTGTTCGATGGAAGTTGGCAGAGAGGACAGCGTGGGCGATGGAGACATTTTATTTGGCGAAATTGAGTACTGCATGCCTGATTTTGGTTTTTTGGTGAGTTGTGCGTTTGAAAACCTTTTCACTCTACACTATTTGGAGGGAAAGAGTATTCACCTTCAGGGAAACTATATGTGGCATTTTACCCCTTTCCATCTAATATATCTTCTCCATATATAGGGCCAGCTTCTCGACCTGCTTCGCAACTGGTGCTCTCGAATCACTTAGTCATGAAACAATTGCCTTCGTCACGCTGTTTAACGTACTATTCTACATCTCCCTCACATGCGTCAGCTTCATAATCGCTTATCCTCCCTCAGCGCTTATACCCCAGGCAAAGCCCACAACAACAAGAGTAGTTACACCGAAGAAAGCGAAACTACATTTCCTCATAAATGCCGTCCTCACCCGCCTCATCAAGCAAACGCCACCGCTCGAAACCATCGCAATTTGCTTCTGCGGCCCGGCGAAGACCACCAGTCTTGGCATTCCCATGCTCTACGCCATGTATCCTACGATAGATCTGCATCTTGTCGCCAAGTTAACGGTACCAGTTATCTTGTATACGACGGAGCAGATCTTTTGCGCACATTTTATGGTACATTTGTTTAAGAAGTGGGGCAAAAGGAGGCAGGCAGAGTGGATTGAGAAGGAAAAAAGGGCACAAGGGGGAAGAGATAGTCCGAGAACTGGTTGTGAGAGCGAGCACACAAGTCTGAGTACCAGTGAGGGTGAGACAGCTGAGGGGATGCATGGGGCACTGGATGGGCGTGACGATACTGTTGATGTTGATGTTGAGCGGGGAGAAAAAGGAATAGGAATGCAGATTCCGGTAATTCTTTGAAATTTTTGGATTTTGGATTTCTTTCTTTTGCTAGGAACTTTCACGACTATATATAATATAGAGAGAGGATTGGATATTGGATCAGTCGGTTGGGATTTTTGTTCGAGGCAAGGGAGGATGATAAATGATAGGTTTGGATTAACAAGGCAAGGAGACACATGGCATCTAACAGAGATGTAGCTGGGAAGGGAGTTAATAGATCTTTTTGTTTGGTATATACAACGGCACAGGTCGAAAGTTACCTAAGCTGGAAGGAAATACAAACGGTAGAAGTGCTCTTGTCACGGCTATATGAAAACAGGTAGATAGCCGAGATAGGATTTGGGAAATATTATTTGCAGTTCACCTATTTCATTATTCATCCGTTTCAAAACATGAAGAGTTGCTATTACCTATGTACAGATATGCAGACCGTTTAAAATAGCCAAGAGCCAATATACCAAGGAAAGAAAAATATGTAAATGATTGAACCACGAAACCATCTTGTACTATACACGAAACTACATGTAACCGTACCGAAGAAAATATATCTATAAAGAAAGAATAGCCTATGTGCACATACCCTTCGCTATATGTAGCTAACCTTAACGCCCATGCCTAAAGTACCGCGGATTTTCTGCCATCCAGAATGCGTGATTCTGCGAAGCCGATTTCGTACATCCGCTCGACTAAGCGCCATGAGAACACCGAACACAACCAGCAGTGCTCTCAGAAATGAAAGCGGATTTGCAGACATGGAACGCCCCATGCTCCTGAGCAGCGTGACTAGAAAATTGGCAAACATGCGCAGTTGCCTCATAGCTGGTTTTGGCTTATCGACCTTCTTAACTTGTTTTGACGATTCAGTCGACCGGCCTGGCACTGTGGCTGAGGATGAAACTCTACCGGACTTCGTTGCGGGTTTGAGGGTTCGATTTTTGGCTGAGGAAGGAGAGCCAGCATTTGGGTTTCCATTCTCGATTCCATAGTCGACTTCGCTACTTGTTCTCTGGTGGCCGTTCATCCCTTTTGCTGCATGCGATTTCTCCGCAGCGGCCCTTTGTTCTGCTGCTCGCCTTTGCTGTTCCTCTTCCGCTTGTCGCCGGCGTTCTAATTCTGCCTCCTTTTCCCGCTGGAGTTCCGCAGCCCGTAACGCGCCTTGCTCCTTTTCTTCTCGTAGATTCTCTAGCATCTGCAGGAAGGCTTCTTTCCGCTCGTCATCTAGAACTTCGCTCAGTGTAATGAACTCCTTAGCGTAGTCCCATTCATCGTTCCGAGGGAGGACATGGAGTGTGAAGAGCTCTAATATCCGGACCCGCGCAGACAGATCTTTTGGCGTATCTGTCCCATTCGCACGGGATGCTCTCTGTTTTCGCTTCCGACCTGGTGAGTTATCTATGTGAGCTGCGAGGTCAAGGTCAGGTTGGCCGTAGGACGATATGTAATTTTCGAGGCGCTGCTGGTTGAGCTTTTGCGACGGTGAATGAGTAAGAAGAAGAGTAGCGCTGTACGAAAACAATGATGATGACACGTCAGCATTCTTGAAAAATGATTTTAAGCCTCGCTGCATCCTTGATTGAAACTCACATGTTGTAGACGACATCCGCATCTATGGAGCCATCCCTGCCACCGTATCCGACCTGTGATACGATGTTCCAGAGCTCACCACCGCGGACTTTGGAAGCCAAAGCTTTCCATTCCTTTTGCCCAAATTGTTCCTTTCCCTCTTCGGCGCCAAGTTCGACGATGGCATTGAGAATGGAGATGTATAGGTTCCAAACCTTTTTGCGCAGATTCCTCGAGGCTGTGGCGATTGGCGCGCGGTCATCCTGTTCATTTTCTTGCGACGTAGGTGGGGTGATAATAGGTTCAACAGCGGATAAGGCTTCATGTAACCGCCGTGTGAGAAATAGCTGCGAGGACTGTTTGTAGACCTGCGATATTTGCGTGGAGGAGGAGCGGGATAGAGAGGAGGAGGGAGAGAGGCGAGGTGGCTTTGAGGCGCTGTGGAAGCTTTTATCTGACATCATGTGAGGCTTCAAAGTTTCGATACCGAAATACTACTAGTTCAATTGAGAAGGCTGAAGTAAGATGTAGTAAATCAGTCGAGGATGAACACTGGCAGGTTACAGATACTGTCGTTCAAGTTGTTGCTTGCTCTTCGGGTAGGCCGAGCTTCAAACATCCTCGGTCAACTGCGGATCACGAGGTCTCGTTGTCTGGATCCGTCATAAGCTTTTCCAAAAAATGCCCTCCGAGCGCTGGCGATTATTTATGTGTTCGTCCATATTTTAGCTCAGTAAATACAGATCCATTGTCTCCTTCTCAATACTTGCTGACTGCAATTGTGGTGTAGACAAAGAAAGGACTTTAAGCTCTTCCTGCCAGATCCGATATTTGCTCTTACTCTAATAATTTGAAGTTATGTGCAATCTCCTCCATGAAGGGAAATTCACACTAGCAGACAACTTCTTTATCACACCACTATGTCTTCTTTTCTGATGAAGTTAGGAGGGTTCCTGTCTCTTGTTTGTGTTGCTCATACTCTGAGCTCTGCACACAAACTGACAGGTATTAATCAGCCTTCATCTGAACATCTTTCTTGACTATTTCATTCACCCTGGGTTTCTGATTTGCTCAATCTCCGAGGAGCTAAGCTCTCTGGCTTTGCATGCCCCATTTCCTTGTTTTCTTTCATCTGAACAGCAAGGCTCGTTCGTTAAATATGGATGTGACAAGGCAGTCTTTTAGTCAACATCTACCGAGACTTCTAAATGACTTAGCAAAGTCTTCTTTTGTTGCCGTGGACTTGGAGTTTTCCGGGATCGTTCCAAGGCAGTCTGCTCCGAGCCCTGGAAGCAATCTATGGGGTGAGAAACAGACTCTACAGACGAGATACGAAGAAGTTAAAGAAGCAGCTGATACCTATCAAGTGTTGCAAATTGGGTTGACCTTTGCAATGGAGGACGGGGAGACTGGTTAGAGCGATCATTTTGGTTGGCGACTGTCGGTTCGATGCTGAAGAAGAATATAGGGACTTATGTGTTACGACCTTATAACCTCCATATAAATCCCGTGCTTGACGAAAGATTGGGAGTTGAAAGGCGATGGTCTTATCAAAGCCGTGGTTTGTACACCCCTATCAATTATGACAATTTCACTGTTCCAGCAATGACGTTTTCCTGAATGAACAAGCCGTCGAGTTTTTGATAAAAAATGGATTTCGAATGGAAGCACCGTTTGTAGAAGGGCTGCCATACCTTTCGCGCCTCGAAGAACAATTGGCAATGACGAAATTGGCGGAGAGTGAGAACAGCACTGCAAAAATTGCGGACATCAAACCCGAAAACATGGACCCAGAATCCCATACATTCGTAGCTAAGGTTCGCGGTCTCATTGACTCTTGGATTGACGAGATAGGGGTAAGGAGAATATATAGTCTCATTGATTCCAAATCATCGCTGACAGCTGAAAGGATAAGGAAGAATATCTCAACATTCCAGAACCTGGTGGACTGGAAAATGGGAATATGGCAGGTCCTCTAGGGAGCTGGAGGTTCGCCCTAAACAGTTACCAAAAACGTTTGGTCCATCAGCTGGTTCGCGCAGAGTACCCTTCTCTTGTCTCAATCAGTCGAAAAACTTTCGTCCAAATCATTCCCTACAACAAACAGCGTGAGGAGTACATACGCGTTGATAAATGGCGAACTCTTCGAGAGCGGATTGTCCAGCAAATGGGGTTTCGATGGATTGTTGAGGGCATGGTTGGAGGTGACCTCTCTGCAATGGACCCGAGGGTCTTTCTTCCCTGTATCCCAGATTCAGCCACAGTTGACGCAGAGGCCTTGTCGAACTACTCTGACGACTTGCGGTCAAAATTGAAGTCAAGACAGCCTGTTTTGGTTGGACATAACTTGTTCACTGACCTCATCAACTTTTACAAATGCTTTATTGGCAACTTGCCGGATCGCATCGAAGATTTCAAGGAAGCTATCCATTCTTTATTTCCCCTTGTAATTGACACAAAATATATGGCCACGCACAATTGTTCATCAGTGACGCCCTCATCCTCCCTGGCAGAAATTAACGACAATTTGGCGATGAGGAAGACGCCCAAAATTTGTACGTAACACCAATCAAATTGAGGCCCTACATTCTAACCGCGCGCACTTTTTAGTCATTGACCCGGAGCATGATAAATACGTTGTGGAGAAGCCACTTCATGAAGCGGGATACGATAGCTTGCTCACTGCAAAGGTTTTGATCAAACTGACTGTGGAGTTACAAGGAGAGGCGCCAATAGCTAACGTTCCGCGACCATGCATCGCTCAGCCCGTTGTTCTGGATGACTGGCCAAGGGCACCTTTGAGGACAGCGTCGAGAATGCGAAGCCGCGTTGAGAATAAAGCCAAAAAGCTCATAGACATAGGCGAGCCAGATTGTAGTGATTCCCAGAGTTTCTCCTCGTCGACGTCGATTTTTGATAGGCGGTCAAGTAGCGAATTGGTTGCCATATCAACACCAAAGCAATCGCCAGTGGATTGGAGCAAGGAGAGTGAGGTCTCTCGAATACGATCGCTCCTTTCCACTCCAACGCAATCGGAACCACTTGCTGGTCGAACACACGGTACTGACAAAAGCCAGCCCCCGTTTATGGATCCAAGTTCGCCTTTCTGGAAACTTCAGGAGAGGGCCATGATCCAACACAAGAGAAAGAGAGCCAGGCTCATTCCTCAATTTTTGGATGATTTCTGGGGGATTTATGGAAACAAGCTCCGAGTCTTTGGGACTCTCGAAGAAATATGTGATTTGAATTGACCTATTTAAGCATAGGGATAACAATGACGCGATACACCTCAAACGATTTACAGGCTAGGTTTAGATCCTCCTGAGAGATGACACACATGTTTTAATTTGATATGTAAATTGCTACTAAGAAAATGAATGGAAGAACTGATTTAGCTCGAATGCTTTGTGCTGGAGGAGGGGGGATTTGTATGCAGTAGCTATCTAACTGTACACCTTAGAGGATGAAGGTACCGCTAGCGAAAATTGACCGCAATGACGGAAAATCTTTTTCTAGGCACTTCTAAATGATCAAAAGCTGTGGAGAAGTTAAACAGAGCAATTGATGATAAGGATCGGTGCCATGTTTTTTGAAGATAGAGAAGAGAAGAGGAATCAAACTGCGACAAGAAAATTTTATTGGTGGAATATAAATCAAAACCATATCACGTGATTTTCACTACAATAGCTCTAGCGTGCCAAGATGTATAATCCAAGTGGAAAGCATTTGCGGACAGACATTTTTTTCGCAGATTCTGGTCGATGCTTGATATTGAACAGTTAGCAGTAGCCTGGACGCAGACCACGACATAAAACAAAGAGCAATTGGTGTCCACATTGCTTGGGGGAGATGTCTGCAGGAACGAATGGCGCCAGGCGTGTTGCAACGCTGTTGAGTATGTGATAATATTTTTTCCCATCTACAATGAACGTGAGGTTGTCTGGAGTGTATATGCTAATTGAATATAGGGCCGTCAACATTCGATTCTGTTGTGTGCAGAAGCTGTCAAGAGACGCTTAGTCGCCGCGGATATGCCACTGCTGCAGAGTCCGCAGCTCCAGCGACAACACAGACCACACCATCAGACACTACGAATAGTTCTCCAATCCTTACACCAAAGTACGACATCAAAGCCGGAATCGTCCTCTCCCGCCCACCCCGACTAACTCGCGAGCTCACCTCATTCGAGAAAGCCTTCTACTTCTATCAACGCCGTTTAAACGACCGTCTCGCCCTCCCCTTCACTCGATACTTTTATTTCAAGCGCGACACTCCCGCAGATGTCGATTGGAAGCGCAAGATCAAAGACCGCCTAACACCCTCGAGAGATATCGGGCGATATAATGCGTATTCGAGCGAGGCGTGGAACGATGAGTTGCTCGTTGGCTCCGTGGAGTCGGAGCCGGAGCATCAGATCAATGCGCTGGTGAAAGATGCTGAAGGGCGCGCCGTTACTGAAACAGAAGAAGCGGAAGGGAAGAAGGACGAGATCCCGCGTCCGCTTCCGAGGGTTACGGAGGCGGATGAAAAAGGGGACCACAGGAGCTTGGATCGGCTGCTGCATCGGACACTGTATTTGTTAGTACAGGTTAAGAATGGGGAGAAGGCATTTTGGATGTTCCCGAGTGTGAAATTGGAGGAGAAGGAGAATTTGAGGATGGTTCGTATAGTTCTTTATTCTTCTTTATTGTTTTGTCCCCCTTTCCTTTGAAAACCTGTCACTTTTGTTTTCCCCTGTACCGTGCCTCCCCCTTTTCCGGTAGCAAATTACCCAGTTCCTTGATTCAAAGTTTCTCCGGCTGCAGTATATAAATCGACCAAGCTAACCACATGAAATCAATACAGGGAGCAGAACGCGCCCTCTTTAGCTCCGCTGGCCCCAACATGAATACCTGGATGGTTGGCTACCACCCCATTGGCCACTACGTTTACAACCTACGCAAACCAAAACCTAACCCGGAAGCGGGGATAGAATTCCGCGGCGAAAAGATATTCTTCCTTAAGGGCAGAATTATGGCTGGCCAGGCGGACCTGACGAAAAATACGCAGGGTATTACCGACTTCAAGTGGCTGGCTAAGGATGAGATTCAGAAGTATGTACTGCCGGTATATTGGAGTTCGATTAAGAATATGTTGGAGGAGAGATAGTGTTTTGGAGGGAGGACTTTTCTTGGGTGAAGTTTTGGACATCCGTATAATTTCCCGCTTTGTGCGCTTCAAATGCTGAATGGAATAAGCCCTGGTAAGGAGCGGGGTCAGGTTTCATTTTGGAGCTTTTCATTCCCCCCCCCCCCCTTTTCATTTCTCTCCCTTGTGTCGGTTTTTATATTTGTATGCCTTCTGTATAACTAGATCTGTCGGGTTTGATAAAGCTGTATTTGTATTCTATGATCGAATTTTTTTCACGTCAAGGAAGGCCTGTTTCCTGTCCTTAGCGTATCAATTAGTGAATTATATATTTTAGTGTATTCGCTGTTCATAGAAAGATGGTATAAGATCTTGATTAACCTGGAACAAGACATTCCTGACTTAAGAATACAAATCCCAGAATCCTCCCTTTAAAACACCAACCTTAACTCCATCTCAAAACCCAAGGCGAATAAAGATATCCTACCAAATAATATCACATACATGTATCTAGCGATACCCTCGCCATAGCCGTTACCAAACCGGACGAAAAAGAAAACAGTCTTCTCTGAAAAAATGAATATATTAGGCACGCACACCCTCTCTACAACCGTGTAGCGGGCAGACATAAGAAGAGAAAGTCGAAAGGGCATAAACTAATGACGGAATAAGAAAAATCTGGGCACAAAATTCCGGTTCATTTACAATTGAATTTTTGCCCCTGAACGACGGGCTGGTCCTTCGAATATTTACCCGTGGCGGTTAGGTTTTTGCCGCACATTGCGCACGCTACCAGGTCGTACAATTAGTATGGCGCTTTTAAATTAACGAGGAAGCGGAGAATAACATACCATTCTTGGTATAAGCGCACCGTTGGCAGAATTTCCTGCCCTGCTCTGTCTTGGCCTTGCATGACTCGCAAGCACTCGAGTAGGCAGCATAGGGATTTTTCGCCTTACTGCTAAGCAGTTTATTCTGTTTCGGAAAAGTCAGCGGGTTGCTTTAGTCCTAGTTCTTTTATGGTCGCGAAACGAAGGAGATATCAATAAGTCACTGGTGGATGGGGCTTAAATACCATCCACTTTGGCACGGTTTTGTTAAATTTGCAGTGAGTGCAGGGCTTTAGGACCAAGATTGTTGTGCTATCATATACACGAGGGGTGCATGGTGATGGTGGAATACTATTTGTAGGGCTGAAGAATTGCACATGTTTATGTCAAATTCTAGCCACGCTCAGACAAATTGCAAAAGACACCAGTCACACGCTGAAACCCCATCTGCCGAACTGCATAGGTGCAAGTCATGCATCGGATTTGCTCAACCAGGCAATAACTAGGCGTGCTCATAAGGTTCAGGGGGCGCACATAGGAGAAGTGATCATCCCTACCTTTGATATGCCGGCATTTCCTAGTGTTGTAGATGATTTACTCTTTGCATCTCTACCGCCACCGACGGTGCTGCTTGGAGAGCCATAATACATATCATTCTTCCGCTTGACAGCTGGAGTGGCGAGCTCGGTTTTCTTGAGTTTCCTTTGGCACCTCGAACAGACCATTTTGGCAATGGAATGAATGGTTACCAATATATTTTATGTATGTTCACCTTCTTTCGCCGATTCTTTATGACGGTATAAACAGATTCCCTAGAATGAAGCTGTTGGCTGAGGTCTCCGGAAGAGTAGAGGATGGGGAGCGAGATGAGATGGTAGAGTGACAACATGGAAGTTTGCCAGGGAATGCAAGGGCGGTCGTTCCTGTTGCAGTTTGGGCTGTTCGAATCGGGTTTAGCCTTAAAGCTAAATAAGGCCTACAACTTTATTTTTTTCCATCATCGAACCATTTCCATTCCTCGAACTGCGTTGATCTGCTTTGTCCACTAGCTCTATATAGCCATGATAATCGTTAAGGAGAGCCGCAGCGGGGCCAACTCGATGAAATGCTGGCGAGCCGGTGCTACATTCTAACGTCAATCTTATGTGCTTACTCCGTACACTCCTGGAAAATGACATGTTAATTCCCTTCACCAGCTGGGTGCTAGATGGGAATAGCCATGACTAACACGCTTAACTCATATTATCTAGCAGTTAGATATGCGTTTGGAGGTTTGGACAAGTGTCCCACAACATTCACCACAATGTCATCTCCCATATTTTAGATTCAAGGGGCTGACAATCAAGACCTGCAAGGTACTACTGATCATCGGAGCCGACGATGCTATGCCAGCCATGACATGTCCCAAATCTGTACCCATTCATTTAAGGCTGAAAAGGTCTATGGATGTTGGAGCAGTTTCAAATGCTGTTCTAGTACTCTACAATATCTGCTGACGCTGGAGTCACCAAACCTCAACAGGAAAAGCCGACACCAATTTGGATTTGTGCCTCACCTAGCGGCCTCTCTCATCACGTTTCTACCACTACGCCCCGGAGCTTGACTGTGAAGCTATCACTGCGTAGGTAGGGTCCATGGCGCCTTCAAAATTATGGACAACAAGTAGTTTAAGTCGCATCGGAAGAGAGTACCAGTCTACAATTACCCCGACTGCCTTTGATGGCTCATCTTGGCACAGCTACACATGTGCTAGGGAATGCTATAATTCCCTATAACTGCCCAATTCATATCAGTATTATCAAGAGCAGGCTTGCCAAAATTCATTTCGTTGCCAGGCAGTGATGATACAGCATTTGCACCTTTCTGGGTTGCTAAATGTACTGTACAGTACAATTCTCAAACTCGAAGAGAAAATAACAGATCATGGCAGAATGAAAGACCACATCACATACTATTAGTTAGCTGTGGAACCCAGTTAGGTCGGCCGCGGAGTACAGCTGAAGATGAATGTACAAAAATATGTGCATTACGTTATTCTGTGCGCCACCGGAGGTTTGCGCTATGTTGGTGATTACTACACCTACCCTAGTCACGTGCCACCCCAACCTATCCATTTAGTGTAACTCGCGTAGTTAGATTATAACACAACAATGTTATCCTTCAAGAGGTTATGAAGCCCTCATTAAGCTAATGAAAACTGCTGAAATAATGTGTCAACTATGTCTTCATATATTGTTACATGTGTCTAGATGTTTTTTATAAGTGATTGAACTCATGATTAATCTAAGATTCAGAGAAATACCTGACTTAACAAAAGAATACATATCTTTAAGACAGAGAAATGAGAAGACATCAGAACAGCAGATGCAAGATCACAGATTATTATCAATGTTAATAATGAATTAAAAAGTGACTGTCTCAGAGATATTTAAGCTGAATAAAATCATTGCAGAGAAACAGTCTGATGAGTTTAATAAATACAAAGACTCAGTTGAAGATATCAGTGAGATGTCAGATAATATAGAGAGCTTAAGTAACTGAAATAATAATAGCTCAGTGAGTGAGAAGACTTATATAAGACTTAAAATTATAAGACTTCAGTATGAGATTGAGTGAATAAAGATCAGTAGAAATAAGACTCTTATAAGTAATAAGATAAGAGTGAATCTGATAGAATATCTTTAATAGAAAGAGAAGATATCTATTATAATAAAAGTTCTTAAAGAATTCAGAAGCTAAGTAAGACTTATCAAAAGATTAATAGTTCTCACTAAATTCATTAACTACTTAATATGAAGAGAGAAAATTCTTTTAACTGTAGAACAGTCTGAAACTGATAATATTCTTAAAGATAATAATCTTGATAAGAATGTTATTATAAATATACAATATTTCTGAAAAGAATACAATCTTTGATTATATAATTATATATAATCTGCAATTACTCTGCAGACTAAGACTTATTTCACTATACTTAAGAAATTCAAGTTATCTACTTATACTCTATAAACTATTATAGAGAATAACTTTTCTGAGAGATCTGCTATCTGTAGAATCTGTCTGTTTAAGAAACTAATTAGCATGACTGCTAAGTTAAAAGACTTAGATTGTACTTTTATTGAATATCTAATTATTATAAGAACTGATTATATCTGTCTAGAATATGAGATTTCAGATATCATGTTTTTCAACAGACTGCTTATAGAAGTTAATAGAGATTAAGCCTCATTCATAAGAAATTAAATAAATCAAATTGACAAAGATAATACTTAACTCTTAGAGAATAATTTTATAAGTCTATACTGTGATATTCTTTTACAGCTCTCTGCTGTGAATGAAGTAAATACTGATATATCTAGAAATTCTATCAATAATACATAAGATAAGAATAAGAAAGATAAAAATAAAGAGAAAGATAATAATAAGAATAAGAACACTGAATTCAAACCTGAATATAAAGATAATAATGTAAGAATCTGCTATCATTATTAAAAGATTAATTATATTCAGACTGACTATTGAAAGAAATACTCTGAGAAATATTCTTTGAACTTTAATATAAATAGAAACAAGAATAAAGACAAGAATGTAGAGAATACAGATACTACTTCTATTCACAATGTTATAAAATAAGTATTTTACATTAAGAAAAAGATCTATATAAGTGATTAGATAGAAAAAGATATCTGAATTCTAGACTCTAAATCAGATGCTTATATCACATCTCACAGAGATCTTGTTATGATAAAATCTTAGAAGATGAAAGTAATATTAAAAATAATAGATGAAATAGTGATCTCTGCTACAGCTATAGAAGATATGAAGATTTCAGTGAAAGAAGTGAATATGCTGTTAAATAATATTCACTATATTCTGAAGTTAGAAGTGAATCTTATGAGTATAAGTAAGCTTATATATCAGAGTTATATCTATAAGTAGTTAACATATAAAAATAATTATACTATATTAATTATGTCTTCTGACTGTATATTCTCATTTACAGCAAGATTAAATGAGAATGATATCTATGAGATGAAAAGACTGATTATATACAGAGACTTAATTCAGTTTACTATACTCAATAATGATTTTGAATCTGTAAACACATTATGAGTGAAAGATGATATAATACTAACACTATCTGAAAGAAATGATATAAAGATTATAGAACTTACAATAATGCAATGATATTAAAAGCTAGAATATTTAAATTCTGTAAATATTGTAAAAATAACAGTAGATTCATATCTAGAGATGAGAATTATTAATTAATAAGCTTTATCATTCTGCAAAGTCTGTGTTCAGATAAAAATGACATATTCAATCTTTATATCTATAACATAAGCTGTTAAGTTAGTAATGAGATTCTTCATTGATCTGGCAGAGAGTGTAAAAACACTTTTCAACAGAAATGACACTCTCACTAGAGAGAGTGTAAGCTACTGATTGAGTATAACAGATAATACAATTCATTATAGATGAGTAATTCTTATAATGAGAAAGAGAGAATCTACTACAAGATTAATGAATTTCATCACAGATATTGAGATAACTATATAATATTGAGTTAAAACTCTACACTGAGATGATGAAGAAGAGTTCAAAAGTCAAGAACTTAAGATCTACTATCAGAGCAAAGAAATAGCATAT